GTTGTTAAGTCCTCAGTTGATCCGCAGAAAGACTTCAGAGACTCAATGGTGGAGATGATTGTGGAGAACAATATCAGGGAATCTAAGGATTTGGAAGACCTTCTTGCTTGTTATCTCTCACTCAACTCAAACGAATATCATGATCTCATTGTCAAGGCCTTTGAGCAAATCTGGTTTGATATGGCTGACATCAAAATGTAACATTCTTAGATTGTTAAATGTCAATGCAGATATAAATATTTTAAAGTTATGATGACCACTTTTTTTTCAGTTCTGAATTCTGGGTTTCCAAGAAACTATCTTTCAATCTCTAAAAATGGCTGCATGTCTCATTTTTTATTGATTTTCAGTCAGGAAGAATAATCAACTTGCATGTTTTATCTAATTTTCTTTAATACAACATTACAAATTTTAGACTATTAATTTAATTGTTTCATTGAATTCTGTGTTTTTTACATTGTAAATGTTGAATGTGGCCTTCATGGAAAATGGCATGGGGTAACAAACACAATGTGCTTTACCATGTCAGAAAAGCATACATACATATCTTCCTGTTTGAGGCTTCTGGCTTGGTTCTTGTCTGGATCATTTTGAGAAAATATTAGTGTTCTTCTCCCAGGTTTTGTTTCTGGAAACAAGCCCAACTAGTTAGTTCCGGAGATGAATTCTAGTACTGTTACACTGTACACCAAAAGAGAATCTGTTCCTGCAGCAGGATACAGAAGCCAAATCCATAAGCTTTGAAGTTAATTTGGAAAAATTTAATATTCTCTGCCATGATAATTTGTTTTCAAAACGAGAGCACAGAAAACATATACTATATTAGAATAAATTTGAGCAGTCACCAGAGAATTGTTTCATTGTTACAAATAATAGTTGAGAAGAAGATAATTTGAACTAAAGACGTTTTCTTTATTACTAATTTGGGACTCTTTCCCAACCACAACTCGACAATTGTTGACCATAATAGAAGTGAATGTTGCGTCTGGTCAATAACTTCTGGTTAGGTCCATCAAGTTAAGGGCATCACCTCTAACTACCACGTGACATGATTTGAGGTTGAAATTGAATAACCCATGAGAATGTACTTACCTCAAAAAATAATTGTAACATTTATATGTATAGCTGGAGCCTAGAGTGAGATAAAAGGTGCATATAAGCCAAAGACCTTTTTGGGTTGACTAGCCAGCATCTCTCCTTCCCCTTACGAACAAAGGTGAAGGGTGACTTCAAAAACTCAATTAATGTGTTAGCTTCCCACTAGCTCCAAAAGTTTACGCTTGGTTTTACGTGCATGCGCCCATCCCCGCACTTAGAGCACTTCCACCAGTTAGCCCCTTGCCATGGCAAGGGGAGCCCTAGGGCAGCTACTATTCATGTGAATAGTGGTTGCCCTAGCTCCCCCCCAGCAAAGTGTGTTTCCAGCAGTTAGCCCCTTGCCATGGCAAATACTATTCATTTTTTTGTTTTTTTCACAACTTTGTTTATTTAAACAATTAATTTGGATAATATTTTCGGATAAGATTTTTGGGTTCCTACGTATGAAAAATCATTTTCTCAAGATTTTTAGCGGAGGTGCAATATTGACTAAGTATGAAAAATGGTTTTTCGAAATAATCATTTTCTCAAGAAAATTTTTGGCGGCTTTTATTCCTTACACATCAAATAAGAAAACTTGATTTTATGGGATTTTAATATGAAGTATATATTGACTTAATGAGCCATCATTTTTAGCCTAAATCGTATTTGCACTAAAACGATTTTTCATATTTTGATTTGGTGGGAATTTGATTTTCTAGTATTTTTATTTGAATCCAAATGGGGGGGTACTTCCTTATTTACATTGTAAACTTAAGTAAATGGAGTAATATAAAAATAAATAAAAGTAAAAGGACAAAGACATTTACTTAAATGTTGAAAATGGAAATAAGGTATAGAGAGAAGAAAAAAAAAAGTAATTTTTTGGTTTTTTTCAATTTTTTATTACAAAAATATTGGTTGTTGATGTTAAAAGTGAAGAGTATTGGTTGGTATTTATAGAAAACAATTTCAGTATTTTTTTGGTATTTTTTTTCATTTTTTTATTGGGCAAAAAATTCCCTGCCGTTGGATGGCTGGAAAAAAAAAATCGGAAAGCCCAGAAGCTTCCACGTGGCACAGAGCCATTGGGGCTTGCTTTTTCCTATTTTTTTATTCGCGAAAAAATGGCTGCCGTTGGATATGTTTAAAAAGCTGATCGGATGGCCCAGCAGACGACACGTGGAAGAGAGCCATTGGGCGGGCACTGTAGCGGCGCGTCAAATTTTTTTTAACGTTGGCGCGTGCAATGCACGCGCCAACATTAAAAAAATTTAAACAGCTGCGCTGACGTCGTCGTGACGTCAGCGCGCTGATGTAAGCCCAAAACTCGTTTTGTTGCTCGGGCTGGACCTCCCCGAGGGCTAGCCCAGGCAAATTTTTTTTGCTGGGGCCCACACCTTGCCCTGGCAGCTTTGTGTTGCTGGAAACAGCATTTTCCCCCCAGCCCCCCCCCAGCCCTCCCCCCAGCCTGCTTGCTGGAAATGCTCTTAGTGAGCAGAAAAATGGAGGGAGAGAGGCAAGTGTACATAGGTGCAAGATAGGAGGACACCTTGAAAATAAAGAAGATGTAGGGAATAAGGGTGCAAAGAAGGGATCCGATACTATATTAGACAACCACTAATTTAGCTGTTAAGGAATAGACCAATAATGTATGTCAAGGTTGCTACATTTATACAAACGGTTTTGATTAATAGTTTAGATTAATGGTATAGCATGCATAATAATGTACTTATTATGTGATGCTTTAAAGAGCTTTGATCACATGGCTCCATGTCCATCCATCGATATGGAGATACCAGCAGTTACAGCTCATTAAGATGCAATTGTGTTGCCGGCTCTCTACGGTCTATGGAGGCTTTGATAAAAATGGCTAAAGGATTCATTTTTAAGCCAACTAGACTGGCTAAGGTTTAGAGTCTTGTACCAAAATTGTGCACACACTAAGTTGATATAAATCCTAGCTACCTAACTTGACTAGTTTTGGGCTCTACTGTACTGCTTTCTTGATGGCAGGCAGAGGACCATAGACTTTGCCCTAAAATCTTGCAAATCTCATTCCTTCATGGTAGAGATAATACGGCTTTTGATTTTGAGGTGTACGACCAACTTTTGGTAATTACAGGACCACCAATGTTTCACCCTTGAAATAAATAGCTTCCTGGCCTGCAATAATATCGTAGTAGCTTGCAAACCAAATGGCAAAATTAAGGTGAACTTCTAGGATGGTCCCTGGTTACCTTTCAAGTTTACTTTTACTGCTTGCAAAACCTCTTACCATGAGAGAGAGAGAGAGAGAGAGAGAGAGAGAGAGAGAGAGATTAAAGGAGGACCACATTTGAAAATTGATGAAAGAAATCCAATCAGGACGACATCGAAAATTGAGGAAAGAAATCTAATTAGAGGACAGTCATAATCTTCTCTGGGAATGTATCCCATGATTACCCTTCAGCACTTGTTACTTTCAATCCTCAAACATTTAGTAGTAACTAATTGTTTGAAAGAAAACAGCCCGGCTTACAAATAGTGAAAATATCATAAGAGAGGAGTAGTTATACCGAATCGAACCCTAAATCTAACCTAATAATAATTATATTGTAGTGCTTTAATATATAAGCCTATCTCCTATTACCCATCGGTTTTTCATTCAATGGTTTAAAACATGCATTGTTTTTACCAACTAGCTCATTGTTTAGTGACACTTCTCTTTCTACTAATGAAAAATATCGCAAGTTTTCCCTTCCTCTAATGATTAAAAAGAACATGGTATGTTTTAAGAAAACTCTCACCGGTAAGTTTACATACTTGATTAAAGAATCTTACAATTACAGCATGCTGCTTCATATTATGCAACATCAGTGATTTTGCTTCCAATCCTTTCATCATAACGACTCATTACCAACTCCAAATTTGTGTCCATAATTACAGTGTCATCAACACTTAAAACATGTAGATGAAGGCTAATTTAATTTATCACTGCTTTAAAAATGCAAGGCCTTATTTTCCATGTGATCATCATCAAAATACATGAAACGTGGTGACGATTTGGTGAAGTCATGGAGTTGAACTAACATGGTCAACTATCACTCACCAAACCCACAAGAAAGTGTGCATCCCAGGATTCCCGGCTGAGGGACTATTTGGATCTTGCATGCGTTAACAAGACAATAGCTTTCCCATATCCAAAATTGGCAAAACACATACATCAATGAATTTTGCCTCAAGCAGCAACCTTTCTAAACCCATCCTCAATAATTCAACATTATAGAAACAAGTCTTTTGTGTAAGTTTCCATCAAAAAACAACCCCATACTTGAACACATCAGCGTTTGTGTTTCCTATGAAACATTGCAGTCAGGGACTGCTCATACAAGTGAAGACAAATGCATCTATCTTGTCTCAAAATGCTCATATATAATTACAAAGCTCATTCATATGTCATTGGATTCTCACTTTTTGATCATATCATAATGCAAACGGCAGATATATTGACACTGCAGAGCCTGCTAGCTGTAAAGGGTAGCAGTGAGTCCTTTTGTTTTATGGCAAGCACTGAAAGAGAAGGACATCAACACATTGATAAACTAGCCATTTATTCTGACAGAGAAATATTATTTAGACATAATTACAACCATTTGCACAGAAATTTTTACAATATAGAAGTCACCAGATTCTTGTAGTGGTCGACATGGATCCCCCTCATTCGGCCCCATTAGTACAAGCAGTCCTTGCTTTTGAGCTTCAAAACTGCCCCTGCCATTTCAGGAGGCAATCAAGCCAGTAAGTCGTCATTTCTTGCATCTCCAGATTGGGACTGAAACTCCCATTCCTCTCACCGACTTTACAGTTGTTGAGAAATGTAAATTTTCTGAGGTCTCTCACTTCTTTTCATTCTTTTACAACAGAAAGTACCTAATGGCTTTTTACAATTTTTTTGAAACCTCACAAGGTGCTTGAAACCCGATATTTTCCACGGCTCCCACGGTCTTAAACAAGCGCCTCCTATTCACCTCTTCTACCAAAGATCGGTGTAGTAGGTGACTTCTTACGTCTACTAGCGACTTATTCCTCATCAATCTGCGGCTATCCATGATCCTTTTATCTTTTGAACCAGATGCTAGAAAAGCTTTGCATCTCTCGTAGTATTTTTTAGCCATAGACTGCCCAGTATTACGGTTTTCTTCAGGACAAAACCTTGTGGACTTGTGACATTTTGATATGGGATGTTTGTCTCCTCCTGTGGGAATCGTATTAGTCCCATGCTCATTCCCACAAATGAAATTTAAGTTGGAATATGTTCCCGAGTGTGAAGAGCTTTGAGAGCTGGTCTCATCAAGAAAATCATCTGCACCAGCAATCATTTGCAATTGAAATTTATGCATGCTGAACAATGTTAGAAATGCATCATATATGCATGCAGATCATCAGGAACAGTGGTTAACTGGGCCGCATGCTACACACACATCCCAATGTTCAAGTAACTTGGTCCACAGGCCACTTTCGAGGCCTAAAGTTGACTTTACTCAGGGTTTGGACATATGTACCCAAAACCAGCCTCAGCTGGAAAGGCATACATGCATGCTTGCTATATGTTATTACAAACGAACTGTCTTGATACTATTTTAAAATTTATAAATAAATTTAAAAAAAAATTAGCAAAGGAGGGTCAGGGCATTGGTTATGAGCTCATAGTTAACAATTCTCATGTGATTCAAGGTTCTAGTTAGATTAAAGTTTCTTGACATATTTCTAGAGACTTGGGTTTAAACTCTTTCTTAACCAAGGATGAGTAATAAGCAATGGAACAAGGTTACAACTTACAACTAGCCCAATTGATCTCTAATGGATTTCAAAAAATAATAGGGGATAGTAACAGACATTGCAAATTAACTTAGTGAATTATATGAGCCATACCTTGGAGCCAATCACAGCCATTTGTCATTCCGTTAATCCCATGAGAGCTGATCAAGCCTGATAATGATGTGTGGGATGATGAACAGGAGGAGTGAGAGTGAGAAGGACGTTGAGGTCCATCATCATCATCTTGATAATTAATTGTGTGGTAGGCTTCAGTTTTCCAATTTGGTACCAAGGCAGATATCTCCCCTTCAATCATATTCGCAATTTCAAATGGCTCCCAATCAGTGATCTCCAATTCCTTCACCATTTCCGTAGCAACATCAAATGGTGTATCATTTAATATGTCAAAAGGAAAATATATGTTCCTAAAAGAACCTGCATGAGAAAACAGTAGAAGAAACTTTCACCGTTTGAATCTATTGAGTTCACTTTAAGTAGAACAACAGCCAGAGAAAGTTAAATAGTACCATCTTTATCAGCAATCTGAACTTTGAGAAAGATGGTGTCATCTTCAGGATTTAACTTCCCCGTGATTGTCATGTCAGTCCTGGTTTGATCATCACTCAATTGCAGTTTCTCCATTTCCTTGTCATTTAAAAATGGCTTTGGACGTCCAAGCTTTCCCAAAGGCAATGGTTCATCTTTACCACACTCAAGAAATGGATCAAGCAAAAGTTCTTTTGCTGGTAATCTCTTTGAAGCATTTACTAAGCATTTTCCAACAAATCGTTGTGCTTCCAAGTCTTGAATCCGGTAGAATGCTCCTGGAAGCTTCCCCTGAAGAATTATAATGGCAGGGGGTAAGGTTCTTGTTCACTGATATCTATTAATCTTGACATCGAAACTTCACCTTACCGAGGTAACTTTCTTGTATATTTGTGCAGGGTTGACACACTCACTATATGGGTATTCAGATGTAAGCATCTCCAAGACACACATGCCGAATGAGTAGACATCAACTAGTTCATTGTAATTTTCGTCATATAGTTCTGGTGCCATGAACTCTGGGGTGCCTAAAAGTATAAGGACAATAATACTTTTAGTGGAGGAAATAAGTGCCAGCATTTATGTGCTAATAATGGATAAACAAGTACCGATAACACTGTGAGCAGATTGGGAACCACGGAGGATTGCTGCAAGCCCTAAATCACCAATTTTGACTTGCCCAAGATGCCCATTGACAAAGATGTTGTCACACTTAAGATCTCTATGAATTACTGGAGGATCATTGCCATGCAGATATACAAGACCGCGAAGGATTTGACGGGCCCAGTTCTTAATGGCTCGGATGTCTACATGCTTATATTTCTTCCTATACCTGCAATATGAAAGATATTGTAGTTTATCAATACATTTACCAAAAGTGAATTGAATGTATCATGCTTAAGAATTGATATCCATGATAACAGTTCCCACTTAATGCATGTACAAGGTTCTGCTGATCACATTGTCCTCATTAACCAAAATTGTAATTAAGATTACTTTTGAGGGGCAGAGGCTACAATTACGGTCTATTGCTACACTTTCTCCATTTGTCTATGCTTTACCTAGTTCAAAAGATATGCAAGTTAAGGGGCTAGAGGAGTTGGAAAGGAAATTACTCTCTTAGCGTCCCCGAAGTGAACATTTCAGTAATGAAGTTAAAAGTTTTGTGATCAACATCAATCCAGGAGGTATAGAACCGAATTATGGAATCGTGATTGAGGGTGCTGAGGAGGTGAACCTCTGAGTAGAGCCGTTGCAAATCCTCTGGTGAGCGAAGGACTTCATTGAGTTTCACCTGATTCCATGCCACTTCCATCCCAAGAAGCTCATCAATTGCCTTGTACACTGTTTTCATTGCTCCTTTGCCAAGAACTTCTTCAAACTGTTCAAGACATGGAAAATGCACTTCAATAAATAACCAAATCTTTTATTTCTTTTTATTTGTTTGATTACATAAAGCAGAACAAATTAACTGACTCTCAACAATCAACTAAGGTGGTAACAAGATTCTTGATCATTCAGCATTAAAGTTCTCTGTAATAGTATTATTAGGGTGTCCCTTCAGAAATTATATAGCTAGCCTCAACCATAACTTTACGATCATAGAAAACAACTGAATAAAATTGCGGTAGTGAAAATTAACTTTACAATCATACAGCACAATTAGAAATAGTTTATAGCTAGGTGCTTACATAAGCCAAGAAAGCCTTTTGCTTTTACTACTAACCTAATGAGGTACTAACCTAATGAGGCATCACATTAAACAATCAACTCTATTCCCCAATTTTCTCCACTCCCAACAGGCACCATCAATCGAAGTCCAAAGGAGAGGGCTCAAAGCAAATGGAACAAATATTATAAGAGAAGAAATGGCATATTGTATCAAATTAACAATCTTTTTAAACACCATTTGTCACCAAAACTAATGGCCAATGGTTAAATATAAAGGCCACAGGGATCTCCCAGATGACACCTACTGATGCATAAATAAGATACTTAATGGTGGATTAGACAGTGACTTACCTAATACACAAGATTGACCAAATAAACTATGTGGATTAGACAGTGACTTACCCAATACACAAGATTGACCAAATAAACTATTTCATCCTTTACAACTGTCGATAAATTAACCACATACTTAATTGTTAATTATACTAATATATACATACATAAATACACACACACACATACATACATGAACAGAATTTTGATCAGCTACTCATGGTGTGAGCAAGAAATCCATTGGATTAAACTCCAACATCTGATATTCAAATCCTACCCAGGACAGAGTCTAATACCTGCTTCCAAAGTGTAAGATCATATCCATGGTTTCAGCTAGTATTCAAAACCCATTTATTTAAACAACTCAACTTAAAGAAACAAACAAAATCATCAACTTTGGTCAATAAAGAACTATAGCATCATCATTAATTTATGAAAAAAGCATAAGCAACTTGTGCACATTAAGAAACAACAGCACAGAGAAAACAAATTAATGGTAAAGACTGAATGAATGGATGAATGGTAGTAACATGCATGCACATACCCGGCCATAGCGAGCAGTAGGATCGGTTTCACCATAACCAGCCCTGTCAGTCTTGGACATGTTTGAGCGAGGCTTTCAAGCTTCAACTAATGAAGGCCCAAAAGACTTCAAGATCAACCCCCTTTTTTTTTTCTTTTTTTTTTTTTGTTTGTTGCTTAAGAACTATGATGAGCAAAGCAGAAAGTGATGGTGCAAAGAAGAAGATTGTTGGGAAGAAAACTAAAGGGTAGCTAGAAATATAATCAAAGGTGGGAAAAATAAGTGAAAGTTGGAAACTTGAAAATCAAATCCGAGGCTTTCCCTCGTGGTTTTCGTAGGAGAAGACACCAAACAAGAGCCAGAAGAGCCTTGAGTAGTCAATCCTCAGCATAATCCAACCCATTCCCACAACCACAGCGCATGACACCCCCTCGTACTTGTTAGCAACCATTTGGTTTGGCTTCTTTTAAAATATATGTTGAAATTTCAGAGGCAAAGAATTGAAAGAGAGAAAATATTTTGGAAGGAATAATAAATTGGTGGGGTGGAGGCAGGGACAATTTGGGAAATTCAAAGTTGAGAGTGATTTGATCAGGTACGAAACTTGAAGAATCTGTGGCTACACTTTGTTGGTACCATTTGTTTGTGGGAAAGGAGGAGGAAATCCAAATCCCAAAAGGAAGTCTGCTTGATACTCTGTGGCTCTTGTGGTTGTGGGCAAACAAAATTGAGCTTTCAAGTGGAAGAAAGATGATGGTGAGAAGAACTAAACTCCACAATAAATAGAGAGAGAGAGAGAGAAGCAACACAACTACACCAGTTAGTAATAGACTGAACAGCAACAGATGAAACAGTGGTCCCTACTCGACATAGCTTGGGCCGTGTGTGGGTGGGTTGCTATTGCGTCAAATACTTTGGCTTTTTGCCCTTTGGGGGCTTAATATAGGTTTCCAATTTGGCTTACATGAATAATTAATGTACCATCTTTCAACAGTTGACTAGGCTTATCCAACAACAGAGAGGAAGGGAAATTTGAATTTGAAACCTCTTCTGATGTTGAAAGTTCTTCTATACACTTGGAAGGTAAATACCTTTTACGTGTACTCAAAAATATTTTCATGTATTTCATTTTAATTAACTATGAACATACTTTGATTAGCTAATAATCAAGTGTCTTAGTGACATAAAATTTTGATACATAAAATTTTGTTGATGCTTATTGAATAATGGGCTTGACTCTAGATGGATTTGTGGATCTCTCCCAAGTATTATTTAGTAGTAGTGGGTTGACAAATCAATCATCCTTTCAAATGATCTTTTCATGCACTTCTTCATTGGGGTCCCTCCACTCCACTTATTTTATTCTTATCCTCTCTGTTATTGATTTCTTCTTCTTCTTTATATTAATATTTGGCTACCTTTATATAAAAGGCTTTTATTCAGCACATCTAAGAGTGAAATGACATCTAAAAAAATCATTGCCTCTGTCTGTCTCAGATGAATCCATTAAGCTGTTTCAAAGCCTTTTGAAGATTTATCACCAAATATTTTTATACCATAAATAAAATAAAAGTTTATTTGGCTGACCAAACCAGGCATGCATTTATGCATACGTGCCACCCTCGCTCTGTTTGATTTGCTTTGGATTACAACAGAAGATACTTGTATTGATAGAACTATAATTAACAAGATAAAATCTGAAAACCCTAGCTAGTAAGTATGCATTAAGGTCAGCATTAAAACAAATAATTCATAATTAGGTGGTTTATAATGCAAGGTCAGCACACCTAATGGATAAATTTTGAAATGAAATTTAAATATAAAAAAACATGTGAATATCATTTTGGAGCTATTTGCTTTTCTTTGTGCCGAATCTAATCATGGAGTAAAATAATTACCATAAAATAAGTTAATGTTCATAGTCATCCAACTCAACAAGTTGCAATGTACATGCACTACGAATAACAAAATAGTCAACTCAGTGATTGTTTCAAATATGCAACTAGTGCAGATAACTTATAGCTTAGAAGATTAATTAGGCAACTTTGCCGATTAATTTTACAGTCGTGCAAACAACACAAAGTAAAATTAGGATAACAAAAATACCGAAGATCTTGTTTTGATTGCTTGACAAATACTTTTGTGATTTATCATCTGTGATCAATGACGGGGATAAATTCTTGATAGTTTTATTTAAAGTAATTTATAAACTTTAGAGTGACGTAAAGGCAGAAGGCAATTGAAATGAAATAGGCAAATAAAATGAATTTAGACATTTTACTGAATTTGAAGTTTAACTGCGAGCAAAAATGTTGCTTTGAAATCCAAAGCAATAATTACGTATTCTTCTTAGAGGACTTCCAACCATTTGTTATGGCAAGGGGTAAGGGCAATGGTTGTTACTATTCACATAAATAGTGGCAGCCCTTACAAAAGGCTTGTTGTGTTTATACTCATTGTCATGGCAAACTATTCACTTTTTTTTTTTTTTTAACAGAAAAAATTCAAGTTTTAAAATTTTGGTAGGTATTTATAGAAAAAAATTCAAAATTTTTTGGTTTTATTTATTTATTTACACACAAATTGGCAGCCGTTAGATTACTGGAAATTTTTTATCGGAGAAACCAGGACGTGACATGTGGCTTGTAGCCTTTGGCGAAAATAGGGTTGACACCATGCTGGCATTAGCGCACGCGAGTTTCAAACACGCGCCAACGATTAAAAAAATTTGAATCCTGTGCGATGACGCGAGCCTGGTGTCAACGATGATAGTGTCACCCTCGGGCAGGAGCTCGACCTAGTTTTGTCTTTGGGCTTGCTCGGGTTGGTGGTCCCCACCATTTGCCCTTACTGTAGAAGCCCACTGAAATTGTGCTTGGGGGCTCAGGCCCCCTCTGCTTGGCCCAGCCTTCATCGCTGGAAATGCCCTTAGTGCCTCCCCAATTAAGACTAATTTTGTTTCTTTCCAATTTTCACCATTTTGTCATAATCTAGCAAGGGGGAGAGAGAATTGGAGGCTCGCCAAATTGAAGAGAAAGAGAAAGAGAGAGAAAAAGAAAAAGAGAGATAGAGACATTTGAAAGGTTGATGGGGTTGGATTTGTACTTTTATATTTGATTTGCAAGAAAAAGAGAAAGAAAATAATAATAAAATATTTCAGAGTAACCAAAATAGAGAACATTACTGGAAAAAACACATTTTAAATGGTTTTCTATAATAGAATTTAGCTAAAATTTGAAAACTCTCGTGGAGATGCTCTTAGGTCACAATCAGTACCGGCATTTATATGATATGCATGTATTTCTATTTTGTCTTATATTAAGCTTCAATCTCCACGTGGTCTGGTTGGCGGCAGACGTGTGGTTGGAGTATGGAGTGGACAAACTATTATAAAACGTACTTACTTATTTAATTTATTAAACAAATAAAAATCAGATGTAATGAAGAAAAAAAAATCAGATGCACCAGCCGGGAATCGAACCCGGGTCTGTACCGTGGCAGGGTACTATTCTACCACTAGACCACTGGTGCTTGTTGATGATTTGCCTTGTCAAGTTCCATCTTATCTCTCTAACAAACCAACTGCCAGGGACCTAAGTTGTCGGTTTTGCCACTCTGTGGTCGGAACCAGCATATTCACGTTCTTCAATCAGGCGTCTAAACACAGGAGACTTTTTTCATCTCTCTCTCTCTCTCTCTCCTCACTCACGAGACTTGCGGATTTACATCAATCTTGTTCATCGGGTGTCAATACGGGATAGAAACTCGCCTGTCACGGGATCTATACCGGTTTATGATAGCCTAGTTAGGTTATTTCCCAAGCAGAGTTTCCTATATGATTCACAGCCTGTGCCGCTGCTCAAGTTCAATAGACAGTACTCTATACCAAACGAAAATTTAATGATATCCAACATAACCTTCGACCCAAAAAAGAAATGAAAAAAAGAATCTAACATAAACAAAATTTTCATTGTTACATCTATAGATTTCATCATGTGTATACTAACCAGTATCTAACCGAAAATATACCTAACAGAGGCTTCTCAGTACTGTGTTTATAACTCTCCAAACTTTGGGAGGGAATGCGAAATGAGGGGCAAACTTCACCCCGTATATACATCATCCACCCAACCCAATCAAAGCACACAAATGTGCGTGTCGATTCGGAAAATGAAAAGCGAACCAGAATGTACAACATATGTATACTACATCGAACCAACAAACAACGCAGGACCCCAACAAGAGTTGAAGTCAGGGGAAGATGTCTCATCAGAAGCTCAGTCTAGTGTGTTAGCATCTACAATTATAAGTGTCTTCATTCTCCAACGCATAATCCTTCCTTCAAAGGCACTTGAGGGGTGAGGGGGGGAAAATCGTCATCATTTTTCAGATGGTACGACTGCTCTTCAATCCTAAAGACACAAAAAAGCAAGCGAGATTTAGCTTTACAATAAGAGCTATTCCTTAACCATGTCCATTTTCAGTTGCCATTGTGCAGGAAAAATTTTAAATTACTAAATCCAAGTACCTCTCCTCATTGGCTCTGAATAACTCTGATTGACCGTCCACTTCTGGAATGTGTGATTCCCATGATGGAGGGGACAAGGATCTACACTCAGGTTTCTCTGGCAAGTTGGACAAACCAACGTCATGGAAAGACTCCCAGATTGAAAGGTGAGGTGGATGGTAATCTGATTTTGCAGAGTTTCCACGACCTAGAACTGGGTACTCTGCTTCTGAGAGCTGGCAGTTGTATTCTCTCGGTGAGATTGACTCTTGAGGGGCTGCAGCAAAGCCATAACTAAAAGCGTGTCTCTGCAATGGAAAACACGTTCCTGGTGCCTGTTTCCTTCCCCTTCCAGGCAAGAACCTATCCTTATAGGGACGATAACTCTGAAAAGACTGTAAGCAGATAACCATGAGATTATGAAAACCATAATAACTGGGACTGTAGTCCTCTGCTGTGAATGACTCAGTATAAAAAACAAAACCCCAAAAATATAAAGCCCATGAATATAAAGATTACAGGATTGCAGCCCAAAAAATTGACTCTATAGGAACCAGAAAAGCCACTACCGCATTGGGGATGTACGTCCCTGTCCCTCGTGGTTTCTTCTTCTCTCCTCTGAAAGCAGCAACAGATAAAGCGGAATCATTTGCATGGTACGCATGTGCTCCCCAAGCAATGCCATTTATGTTAGTTTGGGAATTAATATTCTGGTGGAACTGAACGGCTTCAGAGGTAACTCCCCATTGATTCTCTTTCCATGGCTGAGGCGACAAAGGAGGACTTGGCAATAAAGGAGGTGATGTAGCAGACCCAGGGAAATAGGGACCATATTGCAGGTTCAAGCAGTGATTGTCAAAATCTCCACCAAGCTCCAACAAAATGTTCAGAGCTTCAAGACCTCCAGATAAGGCATCATTTTTATCATTAGTCTGACAGTTGCTTCCATGCCTATCTAAAGTGTTTGCAAAAAACTTGTTCAGCTCATTTGCTATTCTTTCTCCTGGTAACGAAAGAATCCAACCAAGCTTGCGAGCTCCATATTTAAAAGCACTGCATATCCGATAGAAGCTACCTGTAGAAAACCCATCAATCATTATCCAGTGACAACACATACACACTAGAAAGTAGAGAGCATATCTAGCTATTTGTTATGGTATTCCCCTAAAACTCCACAACAGCGAGAGAGAGAGAGAGAGGGAAGATGCATACCTCTATTGACACTACGCCCAAGGTTGTTATTCTCTTTTAGTGGATCAATTATATTAAGATGCTTCAGGGGAAAAGATCGCAAGTTTGTCTCACACAACTTTGATGGAACAGAGAACATTTCCACACAATTTCTAATAAATTCTTCGCTCAGCAGTAGATCATCTCCCCCATTTTCGGGAACCTCAGCTGCAGTGTAAGTGAGTGAGTATGCGAGAGAGTGAGAGATAGAGAACACAAAAACAAATAGAGCCATTTAACATTACAAGTACACAAGTGTATCTCATACCCACTATATCAGGCAGGGACGATTTGCATACTGGTCCATTTAAACTTATACAGTAGTTCTCCCAATCAAATTTGCTGAAGTAATCCAAAAATCTATAAAGGACCTATAAAAATGAAACATAATTAAATGCTTGAACTTCTAGAACTCAAAGTTGATTTGTGCGAGGACTCACCGTTAAAGGGCCATCTAGAGAAGAATGAAAAATATGGAAAATATATAGGATTAATGTTTCCAAAGCATATGTTGAAATCAACCCATGATGAGCACCAAGAATACGACTCTCATAGTAGCACCAGGCTTTTATCAGAATAATGCTGCGTTTGAAAAGATGATGTTTGCCAATATAGTGATCAACCTGTGTAATAAGAAACATGAGAAATATGACCAAATGATCAAACTTGAGTGAACTTTCATACCAGTAATAGCGTACATAAATTATTAGAACAAGAATGGAGTCATCTGACTCAGTTATACAGTACCAATCATACCTGTTCAAGAAAGCGCAGTGTACAAAGTCCTCCTAACTGGTTGAAGGATATATCTACTACTATATTTTGTACAATGCATTTCACAAGCTTAACCTGCAATCAAAACCCCAAACTTTAAATAATTGAAAACATTTAGCAACACAACTACATTTGCGAACCGGCTTACAATATCTATTTTATTCTGCACTACAGGAAAGGTCACAGTAAGTCTGCAAAAAATTGGTCAGAACAAAAAACATCAATCTCAAAATTCTGCCAAATACACATTACCACGAAAAAAGAATCTGACATTCTAGGAAACAAGAAATCACGAATAACAAAGAACAGAAACAAATAATAGTAGCAATTGTAAAAAAAAAAAAATAATTACCTACATCCAAGACTCCCAACTCTAGCCCTACATAGGAATTGAACATGTTTCCCAAAACAAAATTAAGGCATCGAGGTGGGAAGAACCTCGGCATCAATGCAATGGACATCCTTCACAAGATACTGAGCAGCTTCATTATTCTCCTCTCCCTTCAGGATAGCATGAACATCAGTTACAAAGCTTTCCTCAATGTTTGCACTGCTGAATGCCGTCAAATCAATATCTCCATCAGGAAGATATGTTTTTAATGGAACTGACCCATACGGAAAAACCTGTGAGATTAACAATACAAAATTGCAAACTTAACTTATAAGAAAGTCAATGAAATGGAGAAGCTCAGAAACAACATTGCTAATGTCACTGGCTCCTCGAATAAAATGAACTTGAAAACAATATTGCATCATAGTTTTCCACAAGTACCAACATTACATCACTAAATGGCAATCAATATGGGAAATACAACTTTTAAGTTAATATCTAAAAAAACCCACCAGTAATGCTGAAGACAATATGGTTCATTTTAGCCATCAACAATGCAGACCTCTAAAACAATTATGATCCAAATAGAAACCCAATTATTTGTGCAAAGTATTAATACTTTGAGCTCCTAAGAAAAAGTCAATTTCCACTTCTTGAAATCATTATGTTAGAAAACTAAGGCCAATCACATCACAAGTAACAGCTCGGTTACCATACATGAAATGGGGCATTACCAGCTACACCCAAACAGCCATTAGAGCAAAAATGATACAAAAACCAACACTACCCAAGATTGAAAACTGGAAATGAAAGAAATGTAATTGGATACAATTGTAATTACCTGACATCCAACGTTAGATGTGATGAGGCTCTGTACATATTGAATAACCTCCTTCCTCGCCTGGTGGGTCACCAGAGTGGGCTGAATCTTTGAGACTATGTTGCGGGTTGCGTCCTCGCCTCTGGCCCAAGACTCGGGGCTGACGGCGGAGGGATCGGGATTGGAGGTCGGCAATGACGGGGATGGCGGCGAAGGGCAGGGTCGATCTTCACGAAAAACGTCACCGTTTGGCCGCGGCGAACAGACTTTAAGATGAGCCATGAAATTGAACAATGAAGACAAAATTGCAGGGGAGAGAGAAGAAAGAGAACAAGAAACGAAATTGAAGAGAAAGAACGAGGCAGGGCAGGAGAGGGAAAACGACGTCGTAAACGGAGTGATTAACGGAGGGAGAGAGAGAGAGAGAGAGAGAGGGTGTGTTTGGAAGGGAAGAACAGTTTCGTTTGTGTCTTGAGGAAAAACCTTTTAAAAACCCCCCAAACCCATACGCAAAAGCGGCAAAAAGCCTCTCTCTTCTCTTGTTCTGTTTCGTTTTTTCTTTTTTTCTTCTTATTTTTTTTTAATTCTGCCGCAAAGCGACGCGACGCAATGCAAACGCAAGGCCGCGAGGGAAAACGCCTTATTTCGCCGCGGCAACTCTACGCCAGACCGACACCGCAACACGCTGACGCAAAGAAACGTTCCTTCTCCTCTGTCCTCTACTTAAACGTCGTCGTTTTTGGCAAGCTTTCTAAACCTTGGGGATCCTTATCCCCTAGGGATTTATGAGTTATCCATTTCCTATTGTTTTTATTTTTTCACTGCTGATTTTGGTAATATTTCCATTCTTCCTAACTATGATTTGATAAGATTATATTCCTTTCACAACACCCACGATGCTTGCGGTAAGTGTTTACTATAACCATTTATGTGCGGCAAATGACCCACTAGTGTAGTGGTTTGGAGCAATTGCTCCTCTAAAGAAGGTCATGAGTTCGAGTCATAACATCTATACAATGGGTGTGAATTTAGTATATTATTGATCATTTCAATAGAAAATGTCCTAAAAAAAAACTATTTATGTCCATGACAACTACCTAAAATGATATGACAATAGTAAAAAGGACTCCCAAATGGGCAAAAATGTAGATACATGGCAACAACTAACAAGTCTTATTTTCCAAAAGAAAACAAGACACCAAGGCAGGCACAAACATTAGGCAAGCAAGCAGTTTAAATAGACCACTTCTCCTATCCTAGCACAAAGAAAATAATGACATTATGTGTGGATTTGGAAGCAGTGCATACACTCCACATGGTTTCTTTGAATATTTAGCAGCTTTCGTTATCATTACTTCTGACCCTCTTTTTTAAAGTTTCATCATCCGATTACAGACGCAACAACAACACATGCATGTTTGCTCTGGCTCTTTGTAGACCTGGCATCCAATTCCTACACCCACGGTCCACCTACTTAAAAAAAACATTGCATCCTTCTCTCCTTCAACTATCAATTGCCAGCCATCCTTATCCCATTTGACGTGCATAGAATTAAATTGGATTAATTCATAAAATTCAAGGTCTCATTTGACCACGTTTGGTGCTTAGAATTAAATTGAATAACTCATGAAATTCAAGTAAGAAATCAATGCAGACTTAAAGGATGTATCATTTTCTAAGATTAGAAAAATAAGTTATAAGATGTTGACATCCTGCACATATTAAGGGAAGTGTCAAGCCAAACACGGCGTTAGAAAAAAGGACGTAGGGTATTTGGCTTGCCTTCTTAACGGAATTTGAAGGACAAAGCAAAACCAGCTGAATTCAACAGCGCCCACCGAAAAATCTGCTGAAAAGCATGTTAACGCATCACATCTTCATTACCATTAGCTCTAGCGGTAAACCAATGCCAAAGCCACCTAAATTATGAAGTTAAAATAGGTAAGAACTTGGAAAATGAGATCATCTGCTTTACATTCAGTGCCAAAACATTGTATCCAATTATTTGCACCCATCATAACAGAAAATTGAAGCACGTGAAATAATAGGCGTTTCATTTCTTTTCAAATCTTTTTTTTAGCATTTCATGCATCAACCTTTTCAGGCAATCAAACCAGGCGGTCGCAGCAGATCAAGGATCATCCCAACAACCAGGTCAAGTTCTTTGCTAAAAGCCATAGCTCAAACGAATAAAATTGATGGAAACTTGTAAGAATATCACTTCATGCTACAGCCGTTGGAAAAAAAAAAACTCAGGTTTTGAATCACCTGCTACCTTTTCCAATTACCTTAGCACAAGATGATACTATGACATATAAGATTAAACTCAACAAGATACTACACACTAGTCATAATCAGAGTCAAACACGCTTTCAACAATAAAATGGAAATATGGCAAAGGCAGCAGCCAAAAGTAATAATAGCCTCAATGCACATCCTCAAAGCAATAGAGCAGCAGATGTGGTGTCTTTTCATGGACGAGCAGCTGGCGCTCCTGCTGGGCGTGGAGCCTGACCAGGTGCACCAGGAGCAGCAGGCCTTGGTGTATCCTCCTGATATGCACAAAAGAGAAATAGAAACGTAAACTAAAAGAACATGAAAGAGACAAATCATATATGCAAATAAAAACCTAGACTTGCAAACAGCTGAATACAAAAATCAAAAGCATATATTAGAAATTTATCAGGAGAAAATACTCTGCCAGTGAATATAGAGATAATACTATGATGGTAAATATAATCATGAACTAAGACAACAAATTCAAACCAAAATCATTTGCCAGTCCAGCTCCTCGATGTCATTAACAAATAAAGCACAACGATCGCACAACCAAATAATGTGAAGCACATCATGCCGAGTTTGAACATTTACCCAACTTCTTCATGATAAAAATAAGAACCAGGAAGAAAACAGCAAACTAAGTTTCACTCTAAGTGCTTAAAGAGTGCACCCAGATGACTAGCACAAAATTTCTAATGCTTGCAGATTTGATAACCTCAATGCAAATGCATTTGAGTGTAAAAATTAACTAACCAACCTTGCTCGCTATTTCCATAAAAAGATAAAACATGCAAGTCCTGACTGTATCCTAAGAAAAAAGGCATATAGAACAGAGTCTTTGACATTGGGTACATTTGAACCTTATTAAGAAATTCATCGTGGTATCAGGTATTTAGCTCCTACATTTATGAAGTTTATACATATAGAGACTCAGCCACTGAAATATAATGTACAATGTTTCAATTCTAGACACCAAATTATGAAAAGATACAAGTGTTGAACAAACAGAAATCATCGGATTTAAAGAAAGTGAACCTCACACTGAACCATAGACTAAAAGGCATAGAGGCAGAACCTAAAAGCAAATAACAGATATAAAATAAATGGCTGACGAAAATTAGAACATACCCGACGCCTGAAACGCTGTGGGGGTTCACGGTTCCTCCTGTTTTCCCGCGATCTAACCCTCACAACGTGAGAGTGGATGGCGCAAGAAACACAGTATTGCATCTTTGCATACAGCTTAGGAAGAGTGTAAGCTTCATATAGCATTCCCAGTAAAACATTATCAGCACAATAATCAATATCAAAATGCAAAAATTAAAACAAAAAACAAAATCAAATACGCAGATTACCCATTATGAAGGAAAAAATTAAAACATTAAACAGAAAAGGAGCAAAAAAATTACCATCATAAACACAAGCCTCCTGGACATCCCTAACTGCAGCTTGCTCAACAATGTTCCTCACCAGAAACCTCTTGATAGCTTTGTCCTTTTTCACACAAACCCAATACCAAATTTAGCCTAAAACTAATTAGAAAACCAAAACCCACTTGAAATTCCTAATAAACCTAGAAAATTCATATTGAACTTGGTTATTAAAGCTTATACTTTCTAAATATTTAAACTCCAATGACAAACGAAAGGGTGAGTGAAAACACCTTAGGGCAGCATTTGCCACAGTTAGAGCAACGGATGAACTTCACATGGCCACGGCCATGCTTGTTTCTCCCGCCGTTTCTTCTCTTGAAAGTCTGCAAACAGAGACATACAGTGAAAGAGAGATGAGGATGAAGATGATGCAATGTGAAATTAACATTGAGTTAAACTGAAATTTGGGGGAGCTAAGCTTTACCATAGTTACTGACTTCCGAGAACTGAACCCTAAGCCGTCTCGATCTGAGCTTTCTGCTGCTAATGCTTCGGCGGCCTTTCAGAGTTAAAAATATACAAGAGGACGATATATATGCGATTTGTGCACTAGGGTTTTGCGGGGTCTTACAATCCAGTCGGGCCGGGTCCGCTAAAGTCCGTTTGTTGTCAATTTCTTTTTCCTTTTTTAGGGGGATCAATTTTTATTATTATTAAATATATTTATAATGATTTTTTAATTACTATCTTCATATTTTCAAGGTTAAAAAGATTTTGTTTTCTTTTGGTCAAAAGTTTCATTTTGGGTCTTCGTCTGTAATTCTTATTGACTGTTATTGACATTTTTCACTTTGTTCAATTCTTGGTTGCTAATATTTTGTCTATCATATTAGTATTGTTTCAAGAAATTTCGTTTCGCCATAATTTTATTTCAAGTATGATTTTGCTAAGGCAGATGTAATAATTTCTCCTTTCGAAATTGGGATTGCTCGAATGTCCCTCTTTCTTTTCAACTCGAAATTGCTCAAATCCAAACCCTAAACAGTTTTGTGCACATCCATCCACAAACCAAAATCATCAAACTGTTTCACAAGTGATCCATGGGCAAAGATAATTACAAATCAAAATAAGAAAAGTGATCTACAATATGGAGCTGCATGCTTCACCATTGTCTTTTTTTTTTTTTTTTTTTTTTTTTTTTTTGTGACACACATTGTCAACCTTAAAGTAAACACATAATTCATTTGTTATACAGGGTTTATTACACAGAAGAGGAAAATAGATTCTCAGAAAAAAGAAGAAAAAAATAAACGAGTTCGCGAAAGCTGATACCCCACGCATCACCAAAAATGACGGGAAGTCTCATTACAAGTTTTGGAGTCCCATCAACGGATGCCTATTATTCCTGTACAAACTGGACAGATAATTGCAACTTACCAGGGCTGTGGCTTTGCCTCAAGGACATTCTTTCTCATACACGTCGCTTGCATATTTCCAGTTAATAACCTTCCATATGTTCTTAAGATAATCTGGCCTCACGTTTTTGTACTGCACAGATTTCAATAGTTGAAGTTGCTAAGGTATATTTCATAATGAAGAATCAAGACAGACAGTTCAAGGTCTAAATAGCTTAAAGCATGAACTTGATAAAATCCCATAAGGGTATATAAAAAATTCAGTTTCAGACATCACAGCAAAGTATAGATGAATTTCAGGTGTCATTCCACCATATATTTTACCTTTTTGTCAAACTACTAGCACACCTTCAGTATCTCAAGTATTGGAACAAAGCAGAAAGTCTAAAAGACCTTATTGAATCAAGCACTTTTGTTCAGTGTCAACTAGTTATGAAACAGCCATATTCCGGTAACAAAAGTACCAAAAAACAGCAAATTTACCTGCAAGTAGTAAGCATGTTCCCATACATCTATCCCCAGGAGAGGAACATAACTTGATCCTTTGGCAACAAGCGGATCCTACATAAAGTTTAAGTTAGGCAACACAATACGCCGCATATCCTTAAAATTGGAATACTAATTTACCATCAAGAGAAGTAAATTCAATGGAACTAAAAGTGTGTGGCATCTGTGTATCAATTAGCTTCAGGACAATAACGCATTAAAAGTACCCTTTAAATTATCGGCGGGAACCAATGAGTATGTAAAAAGCAATAGATATAAAACTTAAAAGCAGCACATAGCATCTCCGCATCTAAAAAACTAAATGGTGTATATACCAAATGACTTCAATTGAATCAATTGAATTGCAACGCACAAGTGAAGTACACTATACCTGATTGAATGTTGTTTCAATAGAAAGCCTCTTCTGATCTTTGTCAAGAGCAAGCCACTATCAACAATTTAAGTACACATAAAATCTTAATACTTGGGTTGGGTCTACTCACTTTCCCAAAATCCATTTAAAAACTTTGAATAGAAGAAACAGCAAAGCAAAGTAGCAGCAAAAGGACCTACCACCCAACCAGAACCTTGCAAAGCAGCACCTTCAACATTCACTTTCTGAATCAGGGAATCTAAGGAACCAAACTGATTCTCAACTGCCCATGCTAAGGAACCCTTTGGAGGCTCACCACCTCCTTCCTGCCCATTACAATTTATTACACAACTTCAAAATAGGAAAAAGAAAGGCAAAATATTAAACCCAAATCAAATGAATACAAAATTGGGACTTGGAATATGAACGTACTCGAACAGGGGTCAGATTTTTCCAGAAAACAGAGTGGTTTATATGACCTTCCACATCAAAATACCCATAATTAATCAATTAATTAATTAATAAGTAAATAATAAAAGAGATATCAAATACAAGGTTGAGTGAAATAAGAGCGAACCTCCGCCGTTGAATTTGATGGCGCTCTGTAATTTGACGATGGTGGGGGAGTGGCCTTTGGCCATGGCCTGGTCAACGTGCTCGAGGGCTTTGTTGAAGTTGGTGACGTAGGTCTGGTGGTGCTTCTGGTGGTGGAGCTGCATGATCTCTCCGCTAATGTAGGGCTCCAGTGCCCCATAGTCGTAGGGCAGGTCGGGCAGCGTGAAGGTCTTCAATCCACGGACTGTCACAAGCCCTAACCCTAACCCTAAGCCCCCGCCATTTCTGCTTAGACCTGCTAGGCCTCTCCTGCTTACAGTTCTCAGCGCCATTTTCAAAGATGAGCGTCGCTAGCTCTCAGTGGAAAAGTTGCACTGGTCACAGCCTCTAATCGGAAAAACTTGTGCAAGACACGTAAGCCCGATAACGTGGCACATCTATATTTTATTATGGAAAATATATTTTCTTTAATCTTTTTGCTTACATGAAAAATAGAATTCTAATCATACCATACAAGATACGTTTTTTAATCTCTTTACATACAATACAAGATCCTTTAATCTTTAGCATAGAATTCGAATCTTTTTGCTTAAAGGATCAAGTTAGCGGGGTCCTTTTTATTTATTTATAAAACATACATAGATATTGTGATTTTTTTAAAATTGTTTTTCCTCTATTTTTGTCTATCAATAGTTTAGAGGATTATCCATTACTATTAGGCCATTATTCGAGTCTCTATTGTCCCATTTTGAGTTTTTACTTTTCCAAAGTTATTACACGTACAAAGAATTTAGCATTTTCACATTTAATACTCTTATTATACATGTACGTAAATATTTTTCATGTTTAATACACTTAGTTTTTTACAAAATTTTCAATAATATACACACACAAAAATCAATAATTTACAAAATTTTCACATTTATTTATTTACAAATAGTATAGCCGAAAGTATTGCCGCCAGCTTTAGTGGGGTTTTTTTTATTTATAAAAAAATAGTATAGCCGAGGGGCTATACTCTTCACATAGATAGTTTAGAGTATTGTTCATTACTATTAGGCCATTACCCGAATATTTATTGTCCTCTTTTGAGTTTTTATTTTTCCAGAGTTATTACTCGAATAAAAAATTTAGTATTTTCACATTTAATACTCATATTGTCAACGTACATACATATTTTTCATGTTTAATACACTTGGTTTTTTACAAAATTTTCAATAATACACAAAAATTCACGTATTATACACATAATATTGAATAAAAATAATATATATTAAAAAATTTAATCTATAAAGTATATATATTGAAATTAGCAAATTAGTATCTATAAAGTATAAACTAATGCAAATAGAAGGGTCCTTTTTTTTTTCTTAATAAATAGTATAGCCGGCCGGCTATACTATATATATATATATTTTTTTAAAGTAGTATAGCCGGACAGTTATAATGTCTTGACACTTGTCGCCAAATCGCTAGTTGGGCAATGGGCCCTAGGCGGTTCCTCTATTTGTTTATCATAAATAGTATAGCCGCGCGGCTATACGCTGGATTAAAAAAAAAAAAAAAAAAAAGAAAAAAAAAAAAAAGCCAGCCCTGCTTTACTGCGGTCTTTTTGAAGAAAAAAAAAGGTATAGCCGACCGGCTATACTCTTTACATAGACATTGTGATTTTTTTTTTTATAAATTGTTTTTCCCCCATTTTTGTTTATCAATAGTTTAGAGTATTATCCATTACTATTAGACCATTACCCGAGTCTCTATTGTCCCCTTTTGAGTTTTTACTTTTTCACAGTTATTATCCATATAAATTATTTAGCATTTTGATGTTTAATACTCGTATTATACATGTACGTACGTATTTGGCATATTTGCATAACCTTCTTCGAGTTAATCCCCTGAATAGATTAGCCTTTTTCTTTCCTAAAAGAAAACTCAACATACGAGTATATGTTCTTAACCATTATGATATCACATTACTTTTGCAGATTTGAATTCAAACATTTGCATTACTTTTGGCAGATGTGAATTCAAACAGTGCAAAGAGTTTTTTGTAGTTCAAGTGATTAAGCATTCACCCATGCACCGAGATTCTGAGTTTGATTCCACCTCTCCAATATCTAAGAATAAAATTATACTTTCATATAATTTAAAACGTCAAGGCTAGTTGACTGTCTTCACTAATGAAACTAATTGGTAGAAACTAACCAGAAACAACAATTATGAATACTTTTCAGTGTTTGGGTACAATAGTGTACATCTGGCTTACCAAATTCTGGTATGAATCCAATTGGCGAAGCCTGATTCCGACAAAATTAATAACCAAAACTGCTATATAGCAAAAGTCATTTCTTTGGCTCTGAAGGATACTTCTACAATAGAAATTATAAAACCCATACAATGCCACATATAGAAACCCTTTGCCAGCAACATCTTCATCGCTGGAATAGCTCTTCCCTGCTAAATTCGATCTGGCACAAATGAACCACAACAGATTGAACAGGCTTTAAGCATGCAGGTCCTTGTTCGAATTCCATACAGGGACTTTTGAATCCTCCCCTAGCATCCCACTTCCGTTTTCGACACCTAATAGAGGATCAGCTTCGCTTTCTTTTGTCTGCAACCAATTTGTGGATAAGTAGTGTTAGCAGAGCATTTCCACATGATATATTCAAAAGTATTCCAGGATTAAAGGGAAGTAAAATATGAAAGACCAATTAAAGGATGAGTGGGAGTTAGAGAGGGAGAGGGAGAGAGAGAGAGAGAGAGAGAGAGAGAGACACCTCCTACCATATTAATTTTGTGCAGACTAATATCTCAGATAACAATATGGAAATTATAAAAAAGAAACATGTGAACGAGATATGAAAAAACTAGAACCACCTGGGGCAACTGTTGGGATCCTTCATTAGCCTTCCGCTGGCTCTCGAGAGTGCAATAATAAGAATAGAATACCATCCCAACTACAGCAATCAATATCCCTAAAATGTTGCGCCAGCTAAATGGGTCGCGGAGTAGAATGTAGCCAAATGCCAAAACAAGGCACGTTTTCAAATGTCCAAGGACCTGATAGGTTACTGCAGACGTCTTTCCAATAACCAAAAATGTACTGAAGTTTACAGAGACAGATATCAGGCAGGACAGAACAATGAAGAACTGCAACATAGACAATGTTATGGTTACTATCAGAAGGATACCAGATAAAGAAATGTTTGGATAGGGGGGGTCAGGGGAGGCAGCCCTGTGGAAATGTCAAATACTCACCAGCACTTGAGGGGTATACGCGAAAGCAAAAACATTTTGATTAGTCAAAAGTCCATCTAGAAATGGACCAACGATGAACAAGGTTATTGCTTGATAGGGACAAGACTGGTACAGAAGTTGGGTTGAGGACACTTTGAACTTCTTCTGGATGGTATTGGTCATCTGAACAACTGTTAAGGTCTAAAACAATACATGCTATCTTAATGCCATACAGTAAGCAGCAAATTATGCAGATGTCTTCTTTGTCTATTTTGCTTGTTTTTCTTATTAAATGTGCTTTATTTAAACATGAAACATGTGATAATGCAACTGATGAAATAGAAAATTCAGTCCAGCTTAGGATACAATCTGAGCAACACAGGTTGTGAGAACTGCAAGCAGGGACAAAAAGGAGCCCAGGGCATTGAGCTGAAGATCAGTAACTGTTGCAACTCCAACTCCCAAAATAAGGATGGTGAGTGAAAACTGAACACTTCGACTGTTAAAGTGGTAAGAAGTGTCAGACCCAGTACACAGTTGTATTAGATGAAAAAACATTTACAAAGTACATCAAACATAATATAGCCACAAAGGTAAAAAGTGAAATAGCATATAACATGGTTGCAGGATAGAAAAATTGCAGTTCAAACTGACCTACTATAATAATTTTATCAGATTACGTATTGAACTATGACAAAGACTGACCTGAACTTCTTCCTAAAGAAAAGGGTCTCCAAAAGAACAGTACAAGGGATGATTGCCAGTTTTGTCATCTGAAGTAGATAATTAAGATAAAATTTATTCAGAAATGTTCATATAAAAAATTTAAACTGCTGAGACAGTAGTTTGATGGATTTAAGAATGAATATGTGATATCATTAGGTAAAGAAGTAAACAGTCAAAGCGCGAATGGGATCACGTTTATAAAATATGAAATTACAGATGCATGATAGCTAAAAACATTAATAGTTAAGCAAGTCATTCTGCATGATTGGGAAAGGTGGGGGAAAACCATAAGTTGAGGGAGGCAGGAAAAAACAAGAAGAAATTTACCTGGTAAAAACCAACGGAATTAAAACCCAAGCTCAGATTCAGAAGTCCAATAGAGATTCCATTTAGAATTCCAAATCCCATTACAGAACTAGCATCAAAAGGCTTGTGTTCAAAGAATTTCATCCATAATGCAATGTGAAGAGAACAAAATGTAACCAGAAGATGCCAGCTTGTCAAAGTTGTGGCTGTGTATCCCATAATGTGAATCAGTAAGTACATTAATATTTGAAAAAGTGTGTCATATATGATGATGATGATCAAGATATTAACGTAAAGAAACGTTACAATAAACAAATAACTTTAAAAACTTGAACCTTTCCAGATAAAGTTAATACAAGCAGATTGAGATTTCACCATTCTTTGAATTGCAATTTGTTGCTAACATATGGTGGTTTTCACTGCTATATAATTTTTTTAACCGCAATGTATTTCCACTGACGACATTACCACAATGTGTGCAATATGGGGGGCACTTAAACGATTCAAAGAAAAGAAAAATCAAGCAAAAAGGGAAAGGGAGAAATAATTTCTAACCCACATACTATAGACATTTGGTGTCACATAATCCAAATAACAAGAATGAGATTTAATGATTTTAAAAGGTTTTAGAATTTCAGCTAGCAAGGAACGACAACAAGAAGCAAGCCCGTTCAATTTGGTAGACAATGTATCCATATGAACCTTGTATGCCCATCAATTGGACCTGTTTTCCATTGACATGGTTGTACTTGTCTATAGGTCCTTGGTCAAATAACGTCAGCATTCATCACCAACCATCCCTTCGGTCTCGCATCAAGGAAACCACATTCACACTTTTTAAGTTCACCAGCCAAACTTACTAGAATAGTTTCTTTTCTAAAACTGCATGAATTTAAAAAATAACATACTATTATTATTTAAGGTTATCTTGAAACCTACAATGTGCATAGAAAGAATTCCAACTACTCAAACAAAGCAGAGCACCAACATATACTGCAACACCTGAAAGAATATTAAACCAACAACTTATGCCAAATTTCAATCAAACAGATGCCTTACTCACCAAAAGTGAAACCAAGTGTGCTAATAAGCGCCTTGTTGCAAATCACAATCGACACGGATGACACGACTGACAAACTCAAAGCCCCAATGGTCCCCAGGTGGAACTTCTGGCTGTCTCCCATTTTCACACTCTTGCAGTCTTGCTCTATTCACAGCCCAAGCTTTATATGGATCTAGCAAACCCAGACAGCAGAATTCAAACAATGTCCAGCCATTTCCAGCAACAACAGAAACAAAACATACCATATATGACCATATACAGAGGTGCACATACCAAATTATGCATTGAATTCTTACCTCATTGTAACATACTAATCCAAAATTTGAGGTAATTCGGGCGCAAAGCAGCTCAACTGCAACAATGGCAGGCAAACACATAAAAAAAATCAAACCGAGATTCGCTCCAATCTACGATTACGAAACCCTAGATCTGCTACTTCGTAAAGAAACAGCAAATCACAGAGAAAAAAGAAAGAGAGAGTTACCGTACAGAAACGAGAAGGTGAAAGCTGAAATCAACGAAAAACGATAGCTCAAACGATCAAACAATCGACTGCGGTTGAAGAAAGCGAGTGTTTGATTTTAAACCAACTGTGGCATTGATGGCGCGTATTATGAGCTTGTTCTTGGTTTAATTCTCGTTTCAATAATCAAATGCAAATTGCGATTTAATTTTTGTTTTTGTTTTTCCGGGTTTTGTTGACTTTTTGATTCGGATTCAGGGACGGCCTCTTGTTACGCCGCATCAGCACGTGTGTTTTGTAGTGGTGGAAATGTAGGCCCCATTTAATGCGATTTCTCTCTCTCTCTCTCTCTCTCTCTCTCTCTCTCTCTCTCTCTATATTATGTTCTATGGCTCTCATTTTCAGTTGCTAAGTTGCCAAATTAAACGTAGCCCTCAAGTGATTTCCTACCAAATTTTAATATTATTTTGCTCCCTTGTCACGCTTCAACGGTGGTTGGTACAGATGAACTACCACCGACACTGTCTATATTTATTTACAAACATTTTTTTTAATAATAAAAATAATGTTATATTTCCGATTCTAGAATACTAGGTTCTATATTTGGTCCATCTTTTTATTTTTTTTGGTAAAATATTTGGTCCACCTTTTTAAGTATAAAAAATAAATGTCATATCGATATAAAAAGAAAATTACTTTTTTTTAAAATAGGATTTTAGAAAATTATTTTGTAAGTGTAACATTTTTGTTTTCGATTCTAACTCTTTTTGTGTTTGAGCATATGCTCTATAAAATAGAAGCACCCTAAAAGAGTACAAAAGATAGCAAGCAAATCATTCGAAACTCAAATGTGAGAGGCATGGACAATAGCGTAATCTTAAAAAGAATTCGCGGCCTAAACCAAACACACGGAACAAAAGAAGAGGAATCTTGGACACCTCTTCAATCAATGCACCAAAATAGCAGTCTAACAATCAACAAGAAAAGAAAATTAGAAAAGCAAACAAAGAATAAGCCAACTAAATTAGAGAAAGAAATTACTTTTGAAAAAACTCAAAATAACAATGAAAAAGAAAAAGAAAAAAAAACTAGGTGATAACCAATTAGATATCTAAACAAGAAGAGTAAAATCTATATATATAAAGCAAAAGGCAGAGAATGGTGAAATATTCAAAATACCAAAAAATGTCATTTGTTAATTCAAACATTAATAATTAAAATTATTAATTAAATGAGGATAATATGGTAAATTCATATTCTTTTCATATTAAAAAAATAAATAAAAATAAATAAAAATAAATAATAAATCCTACTTTTATGGAACATAACTACTTATATTATCTTTTCTTAATTCTAAAAAAATAAATAAACAGGAAACCGATTGACACATGCGTGAGCATGTGCCAAGAGGCTAATAAAAAATAAATGTAAAGCAAAAGTTAAAAAAATAAATGAAACAACATAACATTGGCTAAACCGAAAGCATGGTTGATGTGGCTATGAAGCAGTTAATGGCAACAATTCAAAGTTATCTGGTGTTGTAGTAAGCACCAAACCACGGCTAAATGTAGACATCGGGAAACCATTAAAATTTCGACGGAGACTGATTGGAAATGTAAGGCTTGCTGCCCCCAAAAAAAAAAAAAAAAAAAAAAATAAAAAAAAATAAAAATATCTGAAAACATCAATAAAGCTAATGGATTCCAACCAACAGTAGTGGTGGATTCCCCCGCCCTCCATGGCACCTAGAATCGAACTCCAGTTGAATTTTTTTCCTCCAATATATAAAATAGATTAAAAAAATCAATAAAAGACACCATCGAAAATGGAACTCATGAGAATGCCTTGTATGCCTACACCCAACAAGAGAGGGAGAAAAGAACCAAGAAAACAAGAGACTAAAAGAACAAGAATGCAACCCCAGAACCTACAACATAGGTAATGTGAGGGACAAGCCAAGGCAAACGCTAGGCCTTACTCTGCCCACAAAAACATGGTAGAGACGAACAATAATGGAAACAAAGAACAATACAAGCACATAAAATCAATGCTTGAATCAATCCAAATGCAAAATAATGAAATTTCTTGACTAACAAACCTATTTTAATTCACAGAAACGATTAAGGTAATATATGTACCCAAAAAAAGAAAATTCCAAATTTATCATTGACTCTTTGTACAACGTCTTTTTTTCCTTAAATATCATGGGATTTTTAATGTACATTTCCGTGTTTTCATACAATTTATACTTTTCATACAATTTCTGTGTTTTTTTGTTGCTAAAACCTAAATATACTTACAACAAAATTGATGTTTACATGTACATTATTCTAGACCTCTAAAATTGATGTTTACGTGTACATTTACTATTTGCCCCAGCTGTGGATACTTTAGTACTTGTGTGACCTTGGCACATTGCGTCGGCAAGTATCGGGAGAGTACAAAAGTTTAAGTGATATTTTGATCTAAATACGCTTTCTCCTTCTCGGTTCGAGTGATGCTACGTATATCATATTTAACTTTATTGATGATTTTGTAATGATGAAGAAACTCCCGAATATTTTTATCAAATAAGGCGGTCATATTGCCCAACTCAGGCATGGACTCATGATTAAAAAATGATTAGGACTAAGTTTTAGGCAAATTTTTCCAATCGAAACATTTTTATTGAAATTTCAACAAAATCTACTTTATTTTTATGACATTTTCCAAGCGGTATATAACAAGCATATCAACCACTAAATTATAGATACTAACAACTTAACAATAACACAACTTCTATAAAAACAAAGAACTTATTAGATAGTATTACCCATTGATCTCTAGATTACATATCTGTTTAAAAAAAAAATCTAATATTTAAATCCCTGCATTAAAATTTAGAAACAATCACAAGAAAAACAAGAGTACAATAAGAAGAGAGAAGAGAGAGAAAAAGAAAAGAAGAGAGTTGAGCTGGAGAGTCACGAACATGCAAAGAGGGAGGAGGAGAGAATCTTCTTTTTGGGTTTTTATCTTTCGTCTTGGGTAATAAAACTGGACTGAGCAGCTTTTTTATTTCAGAAGTACTGGGCTCCCCTAGGGGTAGGCTACTTAGGTATCAGAAAATATTCTTACATTTGGGTCCATGCCTGGAGAAGCCCAACTACCAGCTGCTTGCTTTCCCAGTCTCTATGAGGCATTTTAACAAGACTAATTACATTTTTCGTCCCCGTAAATTGACTCATTTTCCATTTTGGTCCTTGTCATTTTGTTTTGGAAATAACCATGTTCCCCCATTTACATAGATGGATGCCATATAGATTCCATCTTTGTAAGAAATGCTTTTGTAAAGAATAGGATCAATGTGCATAAATCAACAAGTGTTTCCATATTTGATATTAATCTAGAGGTTATCTGAGTCACTTCCTTTCTTTTAGTCTAAGTTTCTTCCCTTTTGTCTACCATCCTTGGCAGCAATTAGTTGCCACATAGCTTAATAGACTAGCCTTTGCTACAGCACATACCCATGTGCCCCATGTTCTGCTGCTGAAAAAGATACAACAGCTTTCTAACTCCCTCCTGAATCTAATAAAAAAAAGTTACATCTTACTACCAAAAGCCAAAGAACTTGATGGAAGTGATTGTGTGGATAGGGTTGGTGCTTTCTTATATCATTTTGGACTCTGCAAGAGACCTATAAAAATTGGACTAAATTGGGTCATTTGGATAGAGGAACCATTTTTACGATTGGTTCAAATTCAAATGCATATGTGGATTAAGCCAGTTGGTCAAGGCAGTGTGTCATTCATCATATTGCACTCGAGTTCGATTCTCCTTTCCGTACATTAGAATAGTTTAGAATAGCATTTTGTCGAAAAAAATAAAAATAAATTTGCGGCAAATAGTGCACATCTTATAAAGCTCTTTGATTTTATAAATATATATTATTAATGTTACAACTTAGAAATGGGTTGTAACCTAAAAGAGGTAAATTTAATTTCTCCTCCAGAAATCTCAAATGTGAAAGGCCCAGCGGGTGCTTTTAGCTCACCTCAGCAAACCCTCACCTCACAACTACTCTTGGCTTTTACACTCGGTAAAAAAGAAAAAGGACAGCAGATAGATATACAAACTTTTACTAATAATCTAGTGGAATAACTCTAAAATTGACCCCCTGAGAAAGTCTGACCAAACTGCCAATTACCAGGGGCCGCGTTGTAGCTTGTAACAGTTCTTCCGTCACTGGTGGTCACTTGGAAGGAGAGGCTCTGGCCATTGAGGTAATTGTTGCTCTGCCAGTTTTGCCCCCAGTTTCTTGACATGGGTTGCCACCCTGTTCTGGACCCCTTGATTGAAACTGAGTGGACGTCTCCTGCACCACCCACGTTGGTGATCAAAACCAGGTTGAAGTAGGAGTGGCCATTGATGGTGAATCTTATTCCTCCTTTCTTCATACAGGGCACTCTGCGCAACACCAACAGAAAAACACCTCCCATTAGTTTTTGTAACACATAATTATAACCGGCTAATGTTCTCTTATCAGATATCTGATATGTTATGTCATTACCAACTCAGAACCGTTTATTATCATTCGAATTATTAATTCGAGTACATAACATGAATGCCGGACATAAAACTCTCTGACTACAAAACAATATTTACGGATTATAACCTATGACAATTGTGATTTCACTATGGTTATTTACCTCATTTTATATAATCTAGAAAACTAGTGATAAGCAATGTTGTTACTAACTCTGAACCGTTCATTATCATTGATATTCTCGGTTTGACAATATTCACGGATTATAACCTGTGGCAATTGTAATTTCACCATGGTTATTTACCCCATTCTGTATGACCTAGAAAACTATAAGCAAAGAAATGTTTTGTTTTTACCTTCTGAAGGTAACAGGCACAATCCCAGCGCGGTATTGGGCAATTTGCAAGAAAGCAGGCTCAGCCAAATCAAAGTGCTGGAGAGGAGGATTGCACCAGCCGCCATTGTCGTTGGACTGAGCAAAGTTAGGTGGGCAAAAGTTTGTAGCAGTAACAATGATGCTTCCAGGACGACACCATCTAGGGTCATTGTTGCATCTCATTTCATAACAAGAGCCACAGCTCAAGCCATTGTTAAACAAGGCTGTGCTTAAAGCTGCAGTGTTGGTTCCATACCCTTGGCTGTACAAGTTCCCATACCCACATGCTCCCCCTGCAAAAAACCCAAATCAAATATCAAACCCAACTCTTAATTTAGAAGAAACTTCTTTTTTGAATTTTCAAGAAATGTTATTCGCACTTCCAGTTTGTCATTCTGCGAGTGTGTATATATAGCAACTGCCGATTTTTTTACCGTGGTAAAATTTAGACTTACCCATTGTTCCCGAGGCATCACCGCCACCATAAAAAGTGGCATGAGCGCCTTCCCAGCCACCATAATCAGCAAAAGCACCATGAAGATGAAGATTGAAGAGAACAAGAGAGAGGGCTAGGGGAGCTAAAGACAATGCCTGAGGTGCCATGTTTTGATATGATTTTTCAATAGGAGAAAGGAAGAGAGAGGAGGAGCTTCGGTTTTTATGCAGGGGAGGTGTTTGTTTTGGTTTGTGCTTAGAGTGCACGAGGGGGCCTCTATTTATAAGGAAACTTGAGATTACTTATGATTGAGTTTTGCACACATTTCATTGAATAGAAAGGCCACAGCAGCAAGTGATTGAGAAAATCAAGTGCACATGCGCTGGTTCTGGTTGGGGTTACCAACCGCCACGCCAGTGGGCCAAACTTCTCCACATGCAATTTCCCAGCCATCAACTTCATACGATTTTTATTTTGAATTTTATATTCAGATTTTCTTTGTTCACACTGATTGGTGCTAATTAGTTGTTATTCACACTCGTAGTTTGTCATTCTACACTCATAATCATAACATGTGTCCGATCTCCGTTTTCAGTTGCTTAATTAAATTTAAGTACAGGGCATAATCTTTAGTTTGGGGCCCAAGAAAGTTGAAAATGCCCTTCTATTTGTTGAATCATTGGTAGGGTCTTAACAGATAATGGTATCCTTGCACATGGCTGAAAATTTTGTTAATGAAAGCATTGAATTCTGAAGTATTTTAGTTTCTGATGCTTTCTTTTCTTCTGTGATACATCGTTCTCATCAAGTAATGAAGAACAAAAGGGCATCCTTGACAACGCACCAAAACCTTTAAGCATATTAGGTTTTTTTTTGGTAAAACTAAAACACCCTTTGTGAGTTTGCACACAGAATTTTCCAAATCCCTGCACAATGTCATCTGCTTATAAGCAACTTTGCTCATGGTAGGAAGTGGCAACCAACCCATCATTTCATTTGCGTGTGTCAATTTGGGTACTGCATGTGTTATGTTTTATCATTGCCCCACACATCTCTTTCTCCCTTGAATGGTAATATAGCATTAACTAATTAAGACAATAAAAGTCTTCCTTCCAAGCTGGCTTTGCCTCCATTTTGTTGACTGAATTATACTTTAAAACTCTTGAATTAATAAGTTTCGAGTTAAATTTTTCCTTTATAAAAATATAAACGAGCGAGAAATTGCACATGAAGGAGTGCATGATGACTTCCTCTAGCTATTACGATCAATTACCCCAAAAAGGGTTCATGTAGGGTAAGATCCATTGTACAATGTTTATGTATTATTTACAATATACATTTGTATGTATGTGTATAATGGTATAAATTTCTCAACCAAAAAAGGTATAAATTAATAATGATTCTGGTGTGTTACGTGGGCATGGGGGACATCAGAAATTATGTCTCCATTTTGTTGGGCGTTTGGTCACATGGGTGGCCGACTTACATTGAATAGCACAGAGGGCTCGTGCCTGAATTTTGGACCGCGAAATTAAGGCATGTAGCTGGGAACTTGAGGTTAAAGGGTTTAACGCCAAAACGATGACATATACTTGACACAAATTTACGTCATGAGCATGCGTTTTCTGTAACAAATATTTGGATAATGCTATTATCAATAAGTTTTTATTATTTATTTATGAGTTCACATCTTGAGAGTCGGTTACCCTCATGCTATAATTATCAGTCCGATTACATCGAAATACTACACTTGTTAGGTCATTATAAGTCATTGAGTGACATATTTAACACATAATCATACATATTATTCAACAAACGAGTATCGTATTTTCATGTGTTCGTAGAAAGTAGCATCGAAAAATCTCACTTCTTGTCATTTTGTTTTCAACTTTTTATCTTCAATGTCAATGTCCGACTCAGGTGTTTTTACAGTTCGTATATTTCTTTGTCTGATGTAGGGAAAACAAGTCACTACCATACAAAAACCAATTACAGGTGACATGACAATCTTATCACTCTCTTTATTTTTGGTCGGATACTATCATATTACTCTGTCAGTTGAGACATGGTTTTATTTTCTAATTTGGTGTTAATTTAAACAATTAATTAAGAGATGGAACAAAAACAAGCCCGCTAACGAGCTTAATTGTGCATGAACCAAAATTAACAACATATACAAGTCGAATTAAACATCAATAAAGTAATGCATCTTGTCTTATATGCATGCACAAATTGTTAACAATTGTTTGAATCTTTTATAACAAAGCGCAAAGAAATATCACTAAATCAATAACTATAATTACGTGATTTAATTGTGTCGGCCACGACAAATTAATCTTTGCTGTTTTCTTATTAACTGGTTTGCTAATCACTTTAATTCCAGAGGTAACATATGTACGAAATATATAATTCAGCAATTAGCAAATGTAACACGAACAGTCTTGTACAAATATTCTCATTGATTTTGCTCTCGTCCGGATCTGTTTTCTGCAGGCTTTTTCACTGTGGTTGGTTCATCTGGACTTGCACGATAAAGCTACTATTTCTGTTGGCCGGATTATTTGTTTATTTACGACAAATTTCTGAAAGGTTTGAGATATATCATATATAGATATATATTTTATATATACATGTCGGTCCTGCCATCTTAGGAGCACATGCAGAGTTCCATCTTTGCGGCCTTCACTGTTCATGCATCACTTTCATCAATCTTGAAAGTATTCATAAATTAATTAACAGTCTTTATTATTTTTTTAATAAAAAATTGCAATTTTTTTTGTTTGGGGGTTACAAAAAATATTGTAATTCATGCAACAGTTAAAACTACAATAATGTTTTTGTAATCTCCGAGAAATGAACTTGAGGAAGCATCTTAAACCACCGTTTTTGTCCCGTGTCAAAGCCCTGCTCCCTTGGCTTTCGATATTGCAAGTCTTGTCTTGTCCACCACACCTGAAAGAGAATATTTGAGTTGGGATTAAATTTTCTAGCAATCTTTAATGCAGATTGCATATATTTTTGCAGGATTGTCTTAAGGATCTTGATTCTCAAGGCTTTAAGTCCATATTTTTCCTCTATGTCATCAAATCATGAGATGGAAAAACTTGTGTGGAGTTATTTTTGCTACAGAACATTCTAGTTAAGAGATGATACGTGATTTACGTGATAATACTGATTGATAGAAAATTTTAATTACAAGATGACACAACTTCAAATTTGTGGTTAAATCTATTAGATTTATACCATGTCTTCAATTGTAGAACAATTGATACACCAACACAACACGTGGCTGGGCCTCATTAGCCTAGTAACACCCCCACATAAGGAATCTGGCAGCAGAAATTTGAAGAATTTGAGCCATACAAAACATATTTTTCATTATTTCCTTTTTGTCACTTTTGTCATTTTCAAATATAATTTCTTAAGCAAATGTTGGGTTGTGACCAGAGCTCCAAGAGGTCCATGTCCACGACATTGGATAAACCAAATATCGACGAGGGGGGACAAGGATTGAATTATCTATTATGGTTAGGAGCCTTTGAAAGTGGCCTTCACAAGGACTTGTCTTTGAGTTTCTTGGTAAGAGGATATATAGGCTTCCATATCAGATTTTGGTAGGGCAAAATAAGAAAATTTGGACCCTCCTTGATGCATCTCAATCATATAACCTAAAACCCTACCATGTGCATTTCAAACCAAAACTTCAGAAAATTTTGACCAAATATACCCTCTTTTAACTTTATTTTGCTTCATCCCATTTTTTGATATTGACCCTCATGCTGGGATGCTTTGAGGATTTACCAGAGAATAAAATTTTTTCACTAATCAAAGCTGGTCTATATTTTCAAAAGAGGCTGGGGTAGAACGTAGATGACATCTTGAAGGTTGCAGGGTCTTCGATGACTTTCATCGACTCAGATCGCGCTTCAGCCTCTTTCGGGTCAGTGTTGCAACCCCAAACCCGAGTCGCAAGTCTACGACACTTGGGCGATGATTGTTGTAGATATGTTCTGTACCAGTTGATAACATCCTCCTTGTGAATGGTTTTGAGCTCTTCTGCTTCCTCTGCTGCAAAGTCAAACATATACCTGAAGGCCAGCAATTGTAGTTGGAAGATTGAGCTTTAACTCACGAAGATTACAAATCCCAAAGAAGCAATTTATGATCTTTCTAAATGTAGTCTTTGGAATTACAAGGACGACGTCACCTTTTTCCAACAATCTCACACCAATATCTGTCGGTTTCACAAGTGAGGGATAGATCTTTCTCCAATAGGCCAGCCATTAGCCCACTTCTATAATTTTCAAACAAATCATCATCAATCCTTTCCTGCAAATGCCAACAGTTTCTCAATAACTAACTCTGACTCTCCAATGCAGAAACAACAATGATGTAACTTAAAGCATGAACTAGCGGCATCTAGAAGCTGACTGCTTACCAACAATTCTTCCAGACCATTTATAAAGTTGTCAATTCTCTCTTGTAAGTAGACTGGGCTGTACTCAGACGACTGAACATAGAAAATAAAGCCGAAAACACGGTATGTTATCCGTGGGCCACACTCAACAATATATCCAAGCTGCTCCTTCGTCCTATTTCAATAAATAGACAGCCGTCACAATTATATGAATGTGTGTGTGTATATATATATATATATATATTTTGAATGTATCATCTTGACCCAAATAATAGTTAGAAAGTTTAAGTAAGAATCAAACAGAATCACCTTAAAAGTGGTTCCCATATAATTGCAATCAAAAGATCTATCACTCCGTTCATTCTAGTCAACACATCCTGCTCAATTTGAAAATGCAGCTGCAAGATGAAACCAAAACCATGGGAAGAATATCAACATATATAAGATGAACAAAGTACATCTTTATACATGAAAAACCAAACAAAATTAGCCCATTTTGAGTTACCTCAGTTACAGAGTTTGTTTCCAACTTGTTCTTCACACTGGCATCTCTAACCAGGTTAGCACCAGGAGGAAGACAAAGAACACGTTCTCTATGCCACAATTCGGTAGAAAGTGGTTGTACGGAAAAGTTCATTTTGAATATTTTAGAAAGGCTAATTGCTTCTTCTTCTAACATATTGCCATGGCAAAGGCCCTCAATGAATACCTGTACATACTGAGAAGGTAAGCTGTAAGCAAATGCCTGAATCAAACTAATTCTAAAAGCAATATAGAAAATATTGTTAAAGAACATTGCAAGATTAATTATTTGATTCACACTTGGAAGCCACCTCTCCGACTCTTTCACAATGTCATACCACTCTCCACTTATCAAATTACATGTGAAGGCGGAAGAATAGGAGGTCAAGAAGCCTGAACGGCATGATTTTCTAATGGCTGGAGGATGATGTTGAGTTTGATGAATGGACTGAAGTAAACTATAACAAATATTCATCATAACATGTGTCCAGTGTGTACCTGGGACCAAAGCTCCGGAATAAATGAATTCAAATCAGAAATAGACAATTCGTCTAAAACATGCAACTTGTCATCTGGATCATAGAAAGTCTGCCACAGAACTTGCAGTCTCAAGTATGGTGTGTGCACCAGAGGATTCATATTCGTGTTCTTTATCCTTCACTTCATATTTTCTTTAATAACCTGTTAAAGTGTACTTAGGGATGGACAAGCCGGAACTAGGAAGGCATAGAGTGGAGTGACATACCTTCAAGCGATCATCGGTTGGCAAAATTTTTTTGACTGTGGCCAAGATTTTTGATAAGAGAGCTGGAAGCTTATCATTGAAACCACTGACCTTGATCTCCAGTTTTTCACCAACCGGACCTACATAAGCTTCCAGATTGGCAAGCAGTGCCAGCATCCACAGACCAAAGGTTCCGCTCATGTATGCATTCCAAAAACATCTTTGCTATGAAGAACTAGGTCGCTAAGTCACTGAGAGCAAAATGATCTACATGGATGAATACAGCAGCATCAATTGAATAGGTCATTCTTAAAAGAAAGGCCTTGGTCAAATGGCTCCTTAGTGCTCAAAACTGAGCTAAGCAAGACAAGGGGCGCTTCTAGCATAACTTATAATCTTACAACTGAATTACTAAATATTGAGAAGATTAAAATGAAGGAAGTTTGTTAAGAAATTTAAAACTTTTGAACAGAAAGACGGCCCACTCTTAAGAAGATTTGGATCAGAAAACACAATGTAGTTTCTGATTTACATAATGAGAAGTTAATAGAAGATATTTTGTTTGGACCATTACGTACATCCAATTGCTAGGCTGTACTATTGTAAGCCACTATAAAATCCAAGTCCTTCTACTGAACAAACTTGGACACAGACTGCAGAGAGATTCAGAACTGAACTAAATGCAAGTGGTGTTCCCCTAAAACATATTTAAGTACAAAAGAGCCATCTAGCACAAACTAATTAGTTATGAAGGACATGACATGCACCTGATATATAATCTCATTCAGCTCATCTCTAAGAAGGCGACCATATAGTTCCATCAAAATAGAATTCCTCAGATTAGCACATCCACCCTTCAGACTGATGCGGAAGTATGTATTTACCTGCGGAAGCTTAAAAGTAGTATCAAGCTTGTACCAGAGCTTCATTAATGGTTCATCAATTATACGTCTTGGGGAAGACATATTTGCAGGATCATCATGACACGAGTTATCAGAACGGATGGAAAAATCACAAGGAATGAACTCGTTTTTAGAAGGGAGGTGCAATGAGACATCAATTTCTAGAGGATCCTTCCACAAATCCATCAAAGAAGGAGATATATCCTCCTCGGTATATTTTGACCCAAACCAAGGCTCGCACTGGAAATCTGAAACATTTAGAGACAACAAAACCTCCTCCGTATATTAGGGATGTTACCAGAAAACCTACTAGAGACACTTCCTATAATATTCCCTAAATAATAAGATGCAGTTAGATGGACAACAAGCATCCTTCCTCTCTTTTTTTTCTTTTTTTCTTCTTCTTTTTTCTTCTTCTCTTTTGGGCATAAAAGGGCATAGAAGATTTACCTTCTGAATTAATTGAGGACTTTGATACCAAATCAACCCTCATGTTATCTGGTGTGAAGAAACCAAGAACATGTTTTATCAATTCCTCATCCCAACTCTCGTATGCATAGCCACCATAAATTATATATTTTGCTGGATAAAATAGTAAACTTCCTGCAACATAGAAAATTTTACAATAGTAAACAAGAGATGAATATGGTGATATCCTTTGGCCAAAAAAGAAATAGACATTCTAAAAAAGGAAAACTCATGGAGCACAGATACTTTAAGTCAGGAAAAACATGACCAAGGAAAGATGTGCACTTTCGCTAACAAAAGAAAACCTGCAAGTCCTGAAGCATAAGAATCCTGGGCCGTTTCCTCTGAGAATTTAAATTCCATATTTCCAATATCCTGGAGTTCCCTAAATATCCGTTCTTGTGGAGACACTTGACGCAGTAACTTAATGTATTGATACACAATGCCAATTACGTCAAACATCTACAAGATAAGAAGGCGTATAGAAAATGTGAAGTAATAAAGATAAAAGCAAACTTTGCTCCAAAGTTACTGATGCTTTCCAGTTTATACATGTGAAAATATAGAGGTAAGAATCTATGAAATCGTCAAGTTCTCCCAAACTCTCTAGGAAAGGAAATCCAAAACTAAGGTAGGTTCCCAAGATGATAGAAAAACTCATCAGTGGGACAATCAAAGTTATCTTATACCAAAATATTCTTTAGGAGGATAAAATAGAGATGACACCTTTTCCAATCCAGAATCAGTGAGGCGTATGGTCATGTTGAAGACATAAGCCACAGAAGTTTGGTAAATACATCCACCGCCAGCACCAGCAGCCAAATATGTTGCCCACCCTCTAGCTTTGAGGTAAAAATGCTAACTTCCCCGGCCCTCTGGAAAATGCATAACTTAATTAGTGCTCAAAATTAAGGTAAGTTTCTCACTGTGTAGCTGGAAAACAATCTAGATAACTAAACCCGGTGTGAAATGTAATAATGTTTATGCAATGTGCATGACATACAAAAGCAACAAAATATGATGCATGAAAAGTAAGAACAGAGACCATTCCAAAGGAAAAAATAATCATTTAGAATGAAAGTGACAGAAGAACTGAAGCATTCAAGCTCTTTTCTTAAAATAAAACAAAACCGAATTGTAAAATCAAAGTCTCCAGAGACCTCTACTTTAAGGAGTTATAACTGCTGCTTTTGCCTGTACTAATGATGCTTTGTGGTCTGCAGAGGAATAATAATTAACATAAATTAGCTAGTAATGAATTATTACCATGTCCAAGGAGATGAGCTAAATAATCTTCTGGTTTCTTCAAATACACTTGATGAAGACATGGAAGTCTCCATGTCAAGTAGAGCATATGAAAATCTCTAACAGGCTCTAGCCTGTAAAGTTTTCCAGCTTTCCAGATAGGGCCTTCTGCCTTGAACTGCAGCTTTTTTGACATTACTAAACAACTCCACAACCCAATCCTCGAGTATATCAAAGAGATTCTGCAGGATCAATTACAACTATTACAATTAACATAGATTTGATAAATAAATCAGCAGAATAAAAGATTCTTCTTGGTTTGTTGATTGTATGCATAAATGATTAAACATGAATGAATTTTTTTATTTGATACAGCAATCAAAACTACAAGATATCAACAATGGCACCACCAGACCACTTAATAGTTGATAGCAACAGTAATTCCTTCTCCATTGCCACTAGTCATTCTCACCAATAAATATTGCCAGAATATAACATCACAAATGACAAAATTCAAATGTGTAATTGTGTACACCAATATCAACCTCTACCAATTCAAAGAATCCGATATAATCATCCATAAAACAGAAACCCCGAAGGCCGAGTAGATAAGTAAATCCTTCTAAAACCAGCAATTGGATAGAAATCAAGTCAAACTGGAACTACTTCATTACTTCCATTCCAGCACGCTATGTGGTACAAGACATATCCAATAATATTTATCAACATTCAACCCCTCAAAAACAACGCTTAAACGAAAAAGAAAGCAAAAACCAATAGAGAGCAAAACTGAAATGAAAGGAAAGAATAAAATTTCACCTCCACCAATGACAACTAGCTTCATCAGTCCACCATGGTAATAATCTCTGTACAATTTTAGTATTTGTTCGCGCAAGTTGATCCCATTTTCCATTGCATCAACCAAGCTCTTCTTATTTCCTTTCATGCATGCGTAAAACAAAACGTAGTTTCATACGAATAGAATCTTTTTTGTAACTGAGAGAGAGAGAGAGAGAGAGAGAGAGAGAGAGAGAGAGGGAGAAGGGACAAAAATACAACAATGGATTCAAGTTTTACCCCAAAAGAACTTATTAAATGGGTGACCATGTGCGGCCGTATGGCAGTGAAATTGTTCAAGGCGGCAAGACTCATTCTGCAAAACCTGGTTAAATTCTGCATTCCAAAATTAGTTTTTTCAACAATAAAGAATACCGTTCAGTAATAAGAACTTGTAAGCAAAACTGGGAAAACTTTTAAAAGGAAAAACAGAAACTAATAAACTTGGTTAAGACTTGCAAGCACCTGAATCTACAGCCTGTACCTCTCGCTCCATGGCTTCAATTTTCACTAGGGGGGAAACAAAGAACTGAGAAAATCTGATAAGATAAAGAGCCGAAATGAATACAATTACAGAAATTTCATACAAAGGGAAACATACATGCTATTAGCTAAATATATTGCTCTAGGAATATATGGAGCACAGAGTGAATTCTAATTTCAAGCGATTTATATACCTTTGATCATAACTCAATGAAAAGTTTATGGCAAGCCAGATATTGAGGAACACAAAAGAAACACTTTGTTGGATCTTAAGGATCAAAAGAGGAAACCTAATTTCCATTCCAAGATACGGTTAGTGCACCAATAAGTATTATCCTTATCAAGTATTCAGCATGTAAATATAAGAAAAAATGTAAATGCAAAGTAACTTATTTTTTAATCTGCAGTATAGTCATGTCACATTTGTTTCAGAACATAAGTAGGACGATCATAGATATTTTTCAACTACAAATGCCGAGACAATACAAAATTCAAAGCCAACGCAGGAAGAACCAATAAAACTACAGCCTTCCTTTATTGACCATAAAAATATATTCAATACCAAGGACTTCAGTTATTGATATTCAAAACATGTGGAGCTCAGACTTTACCTTCTCAATGCACCCTTAAGAAACTCCCGTTTCACTTCAAAATGGTAGCAGGTATGCTCTGCTTCTGTGTATGCATTTGATGACCCTCCATGCTTGGACAAGTAACTATCGTACTAGCAAAGAAAAGAGTAAAAAACAAGTGGCCACATACACAGCATACCAAGGAAAACAAATTAATACTAGATATCATTTGACTATTAACCAATGAGCCGAAAACAAGATAACAGCTACCAGACGCAATTACAAAGATAAAAGGTTGACATTTGATTTATCCAAAAGGGTTTCTGTTCCCATCAGGTATAGATCGAAGAAAAATGTAAATTAAAATCATTCACCAGTGACACTACCGTACAGTGTACACTGAGTTGTTCCACACAGCCCGACACATTTGCAAGCAGGTTGGCAGTAAAAGAACAAGCAAGTCCTCCCGGTCATATATACATAGAAGACATGAGATGCAACGTAGTAAACGATGGGGACGCCATGTATAAGTCATCAGATGCCATGTAGTAATCTCTAGAGACGAAAAGTTCATTCGGGTTAAGTATTTCCATGTATGTACTCTCAGTAAACCTCATTTCTGATAAATGATGTAAAGGATCAATTGCATCTCCTAACGACTTACACATCAAACCCAAGTTAACTGGCACCAAAAAAAGAGGAAAAACGAAGAAGCTTGATTGACAAACAGACCTCATTTTCATCTGGAAACTCTGTACTCCCCATGAAAAGCATGTGTTCTGCAAAACTTTCAATTTGTTAGTAATGTCTGCACATCAACATTCAGTACATCGTTTGATGAAGAATGTGTGCAGGCATAACACACACCAAGAAAATGCGCAAGTCCCTGTGCCTCGATCGGGTCAGAGAAGCTGCCTATTCCTATGGACATTGCTGCAGCTGCCTACAAAGATGATCAAGCATCTTTAGTTATCCAATTATATCAACTTCTTGTAACTGAGCTGAGTAGACATGACTCTGATCATTAAGTAGACTGAAGATCAATGTCATTCTCAGTAAGTATGCTTGGAAATAGAATGACCAAAAACAACGCAAAAAGTTTATAAAAAGACAACCATACATGAGAAGCTCCACTTGGAAATTGGAATCATGAGCCAATGAAACATTGTATGAAAGTAGAAACTATTTAATTCTAAGAAAAAGGATGATGCTGGAATCTTAAAGCAGTGATCTTGAAGTTCCTCTAATTGAGAATTAGTGATGCAAACACAAAGTAATATTATTTTCCTACCTAAAAGCAATTTTCATAAAATAAATGCATATTTTATCAAGTTTCTCCAACTGGGTTTTCAATAAATAAATAAATAAACTTCAATGCGAATAATGAGCATTGCAGAATTTCAATGTAAATCATAGACCAACCTTCTTGGTTTGGGAAGCATCCCCCTTTCCCTTTCTCTTGGTCTGGGAAGCACCTCCCTTTCCCTTTCTCTTCCTTCTCAGTTCACCGTCTCCACCTTCCGGTTGTTCATCATCTTCATCTCCTACACCGTTCTCTTCAACCTTTCCTTCCTTGTGTTCCTCTGCCTCTCCATCCTCGCCGCCCTCATCTTCCTCTAATTCTTCTTCAGCTTGTTCAGGTGGCCCTTCTGGGTAAATTTCAGGATCGTGAACGAGCAATGCAGTGAGGCCATTCTCGAGCTCAATTAGTCTGTATGATCGTATATCATTGGGAGGAGTTATTACGATATTGTCCGACGAGAAAGTGCAACGGCCCATCAGGCTAATTCAATGCAATGCAATGTAACTCGAAGAGAAAATTTGAGTTGGTTTTTTTCAGGACGTTGAATATTGCATCCAGAAAAAGCACTTTCATGCGGATTGCAAATATTTTTTTTCACGACGTCGATTCTCCAAGCTTTGGTGTGATTGGTGCACATTTGCCTGTCATCTTCTCAAACATACTATTTTTAGGTCTTATTTCAACCCAGCAAAGTTTGAAGTTTCCATTTTACCCGTTCAGACAAAAACTAGACGGAAATAGGCCTCCGCTTTTAAAATTGGCAGCGCTTTCTAAAACCACCGCTAGCTTCAGCTCTTGCGAGCGGCCATCTCTCTCTTGCGCTTTTCGTTTCTCTCTCAGTTCCATCAGAACGGTGTGCCGAAGAGAGACAAAGAGAATTCCCGAGGCGGGAAGGTGCGGGCGTCAGAGGCGCCGCCCGCATGGAAAGCTCTTGCGGCGTTGTGATGTGGAGTCTTTGCTCTTGGTTTTTGTATTAAGGAGCAAAATGGGAACTTTATTTCCTTTTTGTTTCGAGTCCTTTCCATTTCAGTTATAATTCTTGAGCTTCTAATGTTAGTAGGGATGGCAACCAGCTGATTCGGAGTCGGTACCTGCCCCTATTTCCGGTAAGCACTTCTGAAGAATTCCTTTCCCGTCCTGGTCGGTGGCTATTTCCGGTTAGTATATATACATGCAGAGAGTCCCCTTCAGTTATAATATATTGCAACGGTGTAGCCGGGCGGCTATATTATTAAACTATTAGAATATATTACAAGCGCATAGCCGAGCGGGTATACTATAAAAATATTAGAATCTATTGCAAGAGTTTAGCCGAACGGCTATACTATTATGATATTAGAATCTATTACAAGGGTCTAGCCGGGCGGCTGTACTATTATAATATTAGAATATATTGCCAGAGTATAGCCGCGCGGCTATACTATTATAATATTAGAATATATTGCCAGCGTATAGCCGGACGGCGATACTATTAAAATATGAGAATATATTGCCAGAGTTTAGCCGTTCGGCTATACTATTAAAATATTAGAATATATTACAAGAGCATAGCCGGGCGGCCATACTATTATAATATTAGAATCTATTGCGAGAGTATAGCCCGGCTATACAATTATACTATTAGAATATATTGCCATCGTATAGCCGCGCGGCGATACCATTAAAATATTAGAATATAATGCAAGCGTATAGCCGGGCGGCGATACTATTAAAATATTAGAATATATTACAATCGTATAGCCGCGCGGCTAGACTATTATAATATGAGAATATATTATAGGAGTATAGCCGAGCGGGTAGACTATTAAAATATTAGAATATATTGCAAGAGTATAGCCGCGCGGCTATTTCAAGGTAACTTATTATGGTTTTGTTCAGATTCAGATTATGAGTGTGTTGTGGTTTATGTTACTCAACTTTCGAGGTAAAAATTGTAACTAAAGCGCCTCAAGTAACTTTGATTGTTAGTTACATGTTCCTGGTACAGAGATTTCTGAATAATGTTAGTTACATGTTGTGAGTGATTCAAGCACATCATGCTGAGAGTACAATTCGTCTAAAATATGCAACTTGTCATCTGCATCATAGAAAGTCTGACACAGAACTTGCAGTCTCAAGTATGATGTGTGAGCCAGAGGATTGATATTCATGTTCTTTAACTTTGCTTTATATTTTCTTTAATAACCTGTTAAAGTGTCGCTTAGCAATGGACAAGCTGGAACGAGGAAGGTATTGTCAACTATATGCAAAATCAAACATAAACCAGACATAGAGTGGACTGACAGACCTTAAAACGAACATCAGTTGGCAAAAAAATTTTGACTGTTGCCAAAATTTTTGATAAGAGAGCTGGAAGCTTATCATTGAAACCACAGACCTTGATCTCCAGTTTTTCATCAACCGGAGTTACAGAAGTTTCCAGCTTGGCAACAAGGGCCTGCATCCACAGAACAAAGGCTCTTCTCATATATACATTCCAAAAACATCTCTGCTATGAAGAACTAGGTCACTAAGTCACTGAGAGAAAAATGATCTACATGGATGAATACAGGATCAACTGAATAAGTCACTCTTAAGAGACAGCTTGTCGTCAAATGGTTCTTCAGTGCTCAAAACTGACCTAAGAAAGACAAGGGGCAGTTCCAGCATAACTTATAATTTTACAACGGAATTACTAAATATTGACTTAGTGACCTTAATGAAACGTTAACAAAGATATTTTGTTTGGACAATTATTATGACAGTACACCTAATTTCTAGGCTGTACTGAAGCATAAACTAATTAGTTATGAAGGACATGATATGCACCTGATATATATTCTCATTCAGCTCATCTCTAAGAAGGTGACCATATAGTTCCATCAAAACAGAATTCCTCAGATGCATATCCACCCTTCAGACTGATGTGGAAGTATGTATTTACCCGCGGAAGCTTAAAAGTAGTATCAAGCTTGTACCAGAGCTTCATGAATGGTTCATCAATTATACATCTTGGAGAAGATATATTTGCAGGATCATGACACGAGTTATCGGAACGGATGGAAAAATCACAAGGAATGAACTCGTTTTTAGAAGGGAGATGCAATGAGACATCAATTTCTGAAGGATCCTTCCACAAATCCATCAAAGAAGGAGATATATCCTCCTCGGTATATTTTGACCCAAACCAAGGCTCGCACTTGAAATCTGAAACAGTTCAAGAGAATAGAGCTCAAGTCAGAATCATGGCTACATTCTTGGAAATAATGAGAATATAAGGGATGTCACATGAAAACCTACTCCAGACAATTTCAATACTAAAAGAAGATTAAAACAAAAAAGACAATTAGATGAAGTTAAATGGAGAACAAGTATTCTTCCTCTCACTTTTTCTATCTTTCTTTTTCTATTTTTTTTTAATGCATAAAAGAATATAGAAGATTTACCTTCCGACTTAATTGAGGACTTTGATACCACGTCAACTCTTATGTTTTCTGGTGTGAAGAAACCAAGAACATATTCTATCAATTCCTCATCCCAAATCTCGTACGCAAAGCTGCCATAATTTATATATTCTGCTGGATAAAGTAGTAAATTTTCTGCAATAGTAAACACAAGATGAATATGGAGATAACCTTTTGGCCAAAAAAAAATATAGATATTCTAAAAAGAAAACTTATGGAGCAGGGATACTTTAGGTCAGGCAAAACATGACCAAGGAAAGATGTGCAGTTTCAATAACAAAAGATAACCTGAAAGTCGTGAAGCATAAACATTCTGGTGCTCTTCCTCTGTGAATTTAAATTCCATGTTTCCAATATCCTGGAGTTCCCTAAATATCCATTCTTGTGGAGATACTTGACGCAGTAACTTAATGTATTGATAGACAATGCCAATTATGTCGAACATCTGCAAGATAAGCATTGCATATAGAAAATGAAATGTAATAAAGGTACTTTGCTCCAAAGTTACTGATGCTTTCCAGTAACCATGCCAGTAGAAAATATTAAGGTAAGAATCTATGAAATATCAAGTTCTCCCAAACTCTCTAGGAAAGGAAATCCAAAAGTAAGGTAGGTTCTCAAGATGATATAAAAACTCATCAATGGGATAATAAAATTTATCTTATATCAAAATATTCTCTAAGAGGATAAAATACAGATGATACCTTTTCCAATCCAGAATCAGTGAGGAGTATGGACACCTCGAAGACATAAGCCACAGAAGTTCGGTAAATACATCCACTGCCAACACCAGCAGCCAAATATGTTGCCCACCCTCTAGCTTTGAAGTAAAAATGCAAACTTCCCCAGCCCTCTAGAAAACCAATAACTTAGTGCTCAAAATTTAAGGAAAATTTCTCACTGTGTAGCTGGAAAACAATCTATATAATAATCATTCAGAAGGAAAGTGACAGAAGAACTGAAGCATTCAACCTCCCTTCTTAAAATCAAATAAACTAGATCTTTCAATCAAAGTCTCCACTCGAAAAAGGGAAACTAGCAATTTAAGACTTAAAAATCATTTTCTCCCTGTAAAGGACACTTTCTGTTTTGTAGAGGATTAATAATTAACATAAAATTAGTTAGTGATGAATCATCTTACCATGCCCAAGGAGATGAGCTAAATACTCTGCTGGTTTCTTCAAATGGTGTTGATGAAGACATGGAAGTGTCCATGTTAAGTAGAGCATATGAAAATCTCCTACAGGCTCTAGCCTGTAAAGTTTTCCAGCTTTCCAGATAGGGCGTTCTGCCTTGAACTGCAGATTTTCTGGGGGGGCCTTTTTTGACATTACTAAACAACTCCACAACCAAATCTTCTAGTATATTAAGAGATTCTGCAGCAATGACAACTACTACAATCAACATAACATAGATTTGATATATCAGCAGCCAAAAAGATTCTACTTGGTTTGTTGATTGTATGCATAAATGATAGAACAGGAATGAATTTTTTATTTGATACAGCAATCAATACTACAAGCTATCAACAATGGCACCACCACAGCACTCTAGCACCAGTAATTCAATCTCCATTGTTACTAGAGTCATTCTTACCAAAAAAATATTGCGAAAACATCACTATCACCAACAGAACATCACAAATAACAAAATTCAAATGTGTAATTGTGTACACCAATATCAACCTCTACCAATTCAAAGAATCCGATATAATCATCCATAAAACAGAAGGCCGAGTAGATAAGTAAATCCTTCTAAAACCTTCAATTTGACAGAAATCAAGTCAAACTGGAACTCTTTCATTACTTCCATTCAAGCACGCCCTATGTGGTACAATACATAACCAAAAGTATTTATCAACATTTAGCCCTGAAAAACAATGCTTAACAAAAAAGAAAGCACAAATGAAAGGAAAGGATAGGATAAATTCACCTCCACCAATGACAACTAGCTTCATCAGCCCACCATGGTAATAATCTCTGTACCATTTTAGTATTTGTTCACGCAAGTTGATCCCATTTTCCATTGCATCAACCAAGCTCTTCTTATTTCCTTTCAAGCATACATAAAATGTAGTTTAATACAAATAGAACATATTTTTTTAACAGAGAGAGAGAGAGAGAGAGAGAGAGATAGAGGGAAAAGTACACAATGGATTCAAGTTTTACCCCAAAAGAACTTATTAAATGGGTGACCAGGTGTGGCTGTATGGCATTGAAGTTTTTCAAGGCGACAGGAATCATTCTGCAAAACCAGGTTAAATTCTGCATTCCATTTTTTTATCCACAATAAAGAATACCATTCAGCAATAAGAACTTGTATGCTACTGTAAGAAAAAAGCTGGGACATCTCTTTTAAAGGAAAAACAGAAATTAATAAAATTGGTTAAGACTTGCAAGCACCTGAAACTATAGCCAGCACCTCGCGCTCCATGGCTTCAATTTTCAATAGGGGGGAAACAAAGAACTGCGAAAATCTAATAAATAAAGGGCCGAATGAATATAAATCAAGTTGCTGAAATAGAGACTTAAAATGAGGAAAATACAACTACAGAATTTCATACAAAGAACCATAAACATGCTATTAGTTAAATGTATTGCACTCAGAAGATATGGAGCACATAGCATTTTACCATGTATATTAATTTGAAGCGACTTATATACCTTTTATTATAATTTATAACTCAAAGAAAAGATTATGGCAAGCTAGATGTTGAGGAACCCAAAAAGAACACTCTTATGGATCCGAAATGGAAACCTCATTTCTATTCCAAGAAACATCTAGTGTATCAATAAGTAATATCCTTATCAAGTATGCAGCACGTAAATATACGAAATAATGGAAATGACAAGTAATTTAATTTTTTAACTCTACAATATAATCATATCACATTTATTTTGGAACATAAGTATGACAATCATAGATATTTTTCAACTACAAATGCTGAAGCAAATAAAAGATTCAAAGCCAATGCAGAAAGAACCAATAATACCTACAGCCTTACTTTATTGATAAAAAATATACATTCAATACCAAGGACTTCAGTTATTAATATCCTAGCATGAAGGGCTCAGGGTTCACCTTCTCAAGGCACCCTTAAGAAACTCCCGTTTCACTTCAAAATGGTAGCAGGTATATTCTGTTTCTGTTATTGCATTTGATGACCCTCCGTGTTTGGACAAGTAACTATCAAACTAGCAAAGAGAAGAGTCAAAACAAGTGGCCACAAACAAAGCATACGGTGTTCTCCCATTTAATAACTTGCGTGGAAGTTCACAAAAATGTTCTACCAAGCAAATTAATTTTAAATCTCATTTTACTATTAACCAATGAGCTGAGTTCAAGATAAAACCTACGAGACACAAGTGACACTACCATACACTGAGTTGTTCCATACAGCCCGACACATCTGCAAGCAGGTAGGCAGCAAAAGAACAAGCAAGTCTTCCCGCTCATATATATGTAGAACAAGAATGCTGGTGATGTTTAGCAACAACGGGTAAGTATAAGACACGAGATGTCATGTAGTAATATCTAGCTACGAAAAATTCAGGCAGTTTAATTAACATACTCTCAGTAACCCTCATTTCTGATAAATGACTTAAAGAATCAATTGCATCTCCTAATCACTTACGCATCAAACCCAATTTAACCTGCATAAAAAACAGAAGGGAAAAAAAAGCCTTGATGGATAAACAGACCTCATTTTCATCTGGAAACTCTGTACTCCCCATGAATGTGTTCTGCAAAACATTGAATTTGTGAGTAATGCCTGCACATCAACATTCAATACATCCTTTGACGCAGAATGTGTGCATGTATAACTAACACACACCAAGAAAATGTGCAAGCCCCTGTGCCTCGATCGGGTCAGAGAAGCTGCCTATTCCTACGCACATTGCTGCTGCTACCTGCAAAGATGATCAAACATTTTTAGTTATCCAATTAAATCAAATTCTTGTGAGTGAGCTTAGTCAACGTCACTCTGATCACTAAGTAGATTAGAGATCAATGTCATTGTCAATAAGTATGCTTGGAGAAGAACAACAACGCAAAATAAATTATAAGAAGACAAGTAGCATACATGAGAAGCTCCACTTGGAAATTGGAATCATGAATCTGTGAATGCTTGACAAACTTATAATTTTGTTTGAAAAGTTGTATGAAAGTACAAACTGTCTAATTGTAAGAAAAAGAATGATGCTGGAATCTTAAAGCAGTGATCTTGAAGTTCCTCTAATTGGGAATTAGTGATGCAAACACGAAGTAATATTATTTTCCTCCCTAAAAGCCATTTTCATCAAATAAATGCTGATTTTATCAAGAGTGTTCAACTGGGTTTTCAATAAATAAATAAATAAAAGTTCAATGCAAGATGATGGGCATTGCAGATTTTCAATGTAAATCAGAGACTAACCATCTTGGTTTGGGAAGCACCTCCCTTTCCCTTTCTCTTCCTTCTCAGTTCACTATCTCCACTTTCCACTTCTTCATCCTCTTCATCTCCTACACCGTTCTCTTCAACCTCCTCTTCTTCAGCTTCGCTGTGTTCAGGTGGCCCTTCTGGGTAAATCTCAGGATCGTGGGGATGAGCAATGCAGTGAGGCCATTCTCAAGCTCAATTAGTCTGTATAATCGTGTATCATTCAGTGGCATTATTACGATATCATCCAACGAAGAGAAAGTGCAACGGGCCATCTGGTTAAATCTCTCTCTCTCTCTCTCTCTCTCATTGGAGTAATTCAACGCAATCCCATGCAATGTATTTCACTGCAATCCCATGCAATGCAATGTAATTGGAAGAGAATATTGCAGGCAGGACTAGCAATATTTCATGCAGATTGCACATAGTTTTTCAGGACGTTGATTCTCCAAACTTTGGTTTGATGAACTTTTTCCCGTCATCTTCTCAAACAAACTATTTTTAGGTGCTTCTATTCAATTCAGCCCAACAAAATCTGAAGTTACCATTTTCCCCATTCAGACAAAAACTCTGCTTTTCAAATTGCCAGGAGCTTCCCAATACCATCACTGGCAACGGCTCTCTCGAGCCGCTTTCCCGACACCTCCACCTCCTTCCCGGCCCCCTACCCTAGAACTAACTCCATCTCTCTCACTCTTGCCCTTTTTGTTTCTCTCTTTCCCATCAGAATGGCGTGCTGAAGAGAGAGAGAGAGAGAGAGAGAGAGAGAGAGAGAGAGTTCCAGAGGAGGGAAGGTGGGAGGTGGCTGTCGGAGGAGGCGCCAGCAGAATGGCGCTGTTGTAACGTGGTGTCTTTTTTTCTTTGTTTTTGTAATAAGGGGCAAAATGGAACTTCTGTTCCTTTTTATTTTGAGTTCTTTTTTCAGTTATAATGCTTGAGCTTCTTATGTTAGTTACATGTTTTGAGGGGGAAGGGCAATGATTCAAACCCAACATTCTGGGAGTGACTTCTTGGTATGCTTTGAGGGCTCCAGGATTTACCAGAGGCCAGAAGAACCAGAGTAATGATTCTTACCACAAATTTCACTTTATTAATAATTTATTAATATTGAAATGAATGTAATTGTACATGAATGCATGTATAATCCCAATATAATGGTAAATATTCTTGATTTTCATTTTCCTCTTCCAGGTGGTCATATTGACCTGCATACAGCCCGGTCAAAACTGAGGCCTTCGTTTCTAATGGTTCAATTTTTATCAAGTAATCAAAGCTGGTCCATATTTTCAACAAATGCTAGGATAGAACCTCGATGACATCTTAAAGGTAGCAGGGTCTTCAATGACTTGCACAGACTCCAATCGTGCTTCTGCCTCTTTCTGGTCAGTGTTGCAACCCCAAACGCGAATCGCAAGCCTACGACACTTCGGAGATGATTGTTGCAAGTACATTTTGTACCAGTTGATAACATCCTCCTTGTCAACACTTCTGAGTTCTTCGGCTTCCCTTTTTGACAAGTCAAATATATACCTGTAGATCAAACAATTAGTAGAGTTAAAATAAGCACCAAGTCAAAAGTATTAGAAATCCCAAAGAACCAATATACAGAAAGAAGAAACCCATTCAAATAACAGAATTGTCTTTAAATGTAGTATTTGGAATTGTAATCTGGACCAACCACAGGACAACAGCACCTTTTATCAATAATCTGATTCCAATATCTATTTGTTTCATATGTGAGGGATGGATCTTTCTCCAATAGCTTAGCCATTAGCCCACTTCTATAATTCTCAAATGAATCACCATCAAGCCCTTCCTGCAAATGCCAATATATTCTCAATAATTATGTAACTTAAATCAATAACAGAAGTAGAAATAATGCAATGATATCAGATCCGAACGAGGTTTTCCACAAACTAGAATTGCTTTATACATTTAACAATAAGGAACCTCAAATTGCAAGATCCCATATGCAAGTCATCTTGGTCACAAAAATTATAAAGCTTATGTAATTTTTATAAAATAAAAATTGTGGGGAAGACCATAAACTAGCAGCATTTAGAAAGAACCTTGACTGCTTACCAGCAATTCTTCCAGACCATTTATAAAGTTGTCAACTCTCCCTTGTAAGTAGATTGGATTGTACTCAGACGACTGAACACAGAAACAAAAGCCAAAAACACGGTATGTTACCCGTGGGCTACACTCAACAACATATCCAAGCTGCTCCTTCGTCCTATTTCCAGAAATAGACAGAAAATTATATACAAATTTATAAATAAACCCAAGCACTATTTAAACATATAAACACACCCAAAATCAACAATTGTCTATTTTTTGGGTGTGTTTATAAATGGGTTTTGAGTGTGTGTAATGATGGGTTTTGGGTATGTAAAATGTTTTGGGTGTTGGGTGTTTTTATAATTTCAGCCCCCATTTTGGGTGTTTTAGTGAAACTCCCAAAATTATATGAATATCTGTTCAAATATATATAATCTCGCCCCAAATAAAATTTATTATCAGTTTCATATTCTTTAGTGTAAGTAATAGTTTAAGCCACAAATAAAATCACCTTAGCTGATTGAAAAGTGGTTCCTCTACAATTTCATCAAAAAGATCTATCAATGCTTTCAATCTGGTGGACTCAATGCCCACTTCCTGCTCAATTTGAAAATACAGCTGCAATAACCAAGGGAAGAATATCAACATATAAGACTGAAGAAATTACATCTTCATTTATGGAAAACCAAACAAAATTAATCCATTTCAAGTTACCTCAATCACAGAGTTCGTATCCGACTTATTCTTCACACTGGCATCTCTAGTCAGGTTAGCACCAGGAGGAAGACAAATAACATGTTCTTTATGCCTCAATTCAATAGGAAGTGGTTGGATGGAAAAATTCATTTTAAATATATTTGACAGGCTAATTGCTTCTTCTTCGAACAAATTGCCATGGCAAAGGCCCTCGATGTATAGCTGTACATAATGAGGAGAAGGTAAGCTGTAAGTGAATGGCTGAAGTAAACTAATTCTAAAAGCGACACAGAAAAACATTTTTGAAGGAAAGTCCAAAATTAACTATTTGATTCACATTTGCCAGGCAGACTCCAATTCTTTCACTATATCATACCACTCGCCACTTATCAAGTTATACACGAAAGTGGAAGAATAGGAGGTGAAGCCTGAACAGCATGGTTTTTTCTGGAAAAAGGACCTGGCCGGAGGATGATGTTGAGTTTGACAAATTGACTACAGTAACCTATAACAAATATCCATCATGACACGAGTGTAGTGTACCTGGGAACAAAGCTCGGGAATAAATGACTTCAAATCAGATATAGACAATTCCTTTAAAACATGCAACTTCTCCTCTACATCATAGAAACTCTGACACAGCACTTGTAGCCTCAAGTATGATGAGTGACTCAGAGGCTTCATATTGGTGTTCTTCAACGTTCGTTTCATATCTTCTTTAACAACCTGTTAAAGTATCACTTAGCAATGGACAAGCCAGAAACCAGCAAGGTATTCCATCTATACACAAATCAAACTTAAACCATACATAGAATGGAGTGATGGGAATTAAAGGCAACACAAATACCTTAAAACGATCATCAGTTGGCAAGAAACTTTTGGCTGTTGCCAAAACTTTAGACAAGAGAGCTGGAAGCTTATTATTGAAACCATAGACCTTAAGCTCCAGTTTGTCACTCAACAAAGATACAGAAGTTTCCAGCTTGGCAACACTGGCCTGCGCACAAAGAAAAAAAGTTCCTCAAGTGTATACATTTAAAAGCATCTTTGCTAGGAAAGACAAGGTGATTAGTCACTGTGAACAAGATGACCTATTTTAATGAAAACAGCATCAACTAAATAAACACACCCTTAGAAAACAGGCCTTGGTCTCTTTACTGCTAAAACTGAGGTAAGCAAGATGGGGACATTGGCAAGCATAAAATGGGGAAAATTTGTTAAGAAAATTAAAACTTTTGAAGAGTGAAGATTGAAAGGAAGCAGCCCTGTCCTAAAAGATTTGGATAAGAAAACACATTTGTGGCTTCTGATTAAGTATTGGAAAGTTATTAGAAAAATATTTTGTTTGGACAATTGCGTACAACAATTTTCTATTCTGTACTCTAAGCCACTGTAACAACCAAGTCCCTCTACTGAACAAACTTGGACAGACTGCAGAGAGATTCAAAACTGAAATAAATGCAAGTATTGTTCTCCTAAAACGTATTTAAGTACAAAAGAGTCTCAGTCATACAAACTGAAGCACAAATAATTAGTTATAAGGGACAAGACAGGAACCTGATATACAATCTCATTCAGCTCATCTTTAAGAAGGAGAATATATAATTCAGTCAAAACACAACTCTTCAAATTGGCATATCCACTCTTCAGATTGATGCGGAAGTATGTATTTGCCCGCGGAAGTTTAAAGGTGTTATCAAGCTTGTACCAGAACTTAATTAATGGTTCATCAATTATACACCTCGGAGAAGATATATTGGCAGGATCAAGACACGAGTTATCAGAACGGATAGAAAAATCACAAGGAATAAACTCGTTCTTTGAGGGGAGATGCAATGAGACATCAATTTCTGGAGGATCCTTCCACAAATCCATTAAAGATGGGGATATATCTTCCTCAGTATAATGTGAGCCAAACCAAGGCTCGCACTGGAAATCTGAAACAGTTAAAGAAAGTAGAGCTCAAGTCAAAATTCTCACATATAAAATGGACAAAGATGAATCATGGTTACATTACATTCTTACTCATAAATAATGAGTATATGATGGATAGCACTAAAAAAAACCTGCTAGATACTTCCTATAATTTTTCAATATTAAAATGAGATTAAGAACATCAATATGTTCTGCTTTTTTTCTTTGCATAAAAGCGCATACAAGATTTACCTTCTGACTTAATTGAGGACTTTGATACCACATCAACCCTCATGTTTTGGGGCGTGAAGAAACCAAGAACATATTTTATCAGTTCATCATCCCAAATCTTGTACACATAATCCCCATAAATAACATTTTCTGCTGGATAAAGTAGTAAATTTTCTGCAACAGAGAACATTTCACAATAGTAAACAAGACATGAATATGAGGATAATTTCAATCAGGTAAAACGTGACCAAGGAAAGATGTGCATTTTTGCTATCAAAAGAAAACCTGCAAGTTCTGCAGCATAATCATCCTGGGGCTGCTCCTCCGCAAATCTAAATTCCATGTTCCCTATATCCTGGAGTTCCCTAAATAT